CGCTCTGCCCTTGTCCCCTCACAGTTCTTGTCCCCCCTCGCTGTCCTTGTCCCCCCTCACTGTCCTTCTCCCCCCACAGCTCTTGTCCCCCCCTCACTGTCCTTGTCCCCTCACACTGTCCTTGACCCCTCCACTGTCCTTGTCCCCTCAGACTACTTGTCCCCCCTCACTTTTCTTGTCCCCTCACACTGTCCTTGTCCCCCCTCACAGTTCTTGTCCCCTCCATTGTCCTTGACCCCTCCACTGTCCTTGTCCCCTCACTGTCCTTGTCCCCTCACTGTCCTTGTCCCCTCACTGTCCTTGTCCCCTCACTGTCCTTGTCCCCTCACTGTCCTTGTCCCCTCACTGTCCTTGTCCCCTCACTGTCCTTGTCCCCTCACTGTCCTTGTCCCCCCTCACTGTCCTTGTCCCGATAAGCCCCGGGAGCAGATCCTGACCCTGCTCTCCCCTCAGGGAGCTCTGGGGTGAAAATTCCCCTCGGAGCCTCCTTTTCTCCAGGCAGTTCCAAAGCCTGACCACCTTTTACTCCTCCTGATGTCCACCCTGAGCCTCTCCTGGAGGAGTTTGGGGCTGTTCCTTCTCCTCCGGCTGTTCCTTCTCCTCCTGCTGTTCCTGGGAGCAGATCCTGACCCTGCTCTCCCCTCAGGGAGTGAAATTCCCCTCTGAGCCTCCTTCCCTTCAGGCAGCTCCAAAGCCTGAGCACCTTTTCCATGAGGAAATTCCTCCTCATGTCCATCCCGAGCCTCTCCTGGCACAGCTCGGGGCCGTTTCCTCCTGTGCTGTTATTCCCTGGGAGAAGAGGCCAATTCCTACCTGGCTATGACTACAATTTTCCCTAAAAAACTGCAAATTCCCCCCAAAGTCAGGGCAGGGCTCTGTTCCCTCTCCCCCTGGTGTTCCCTGGGAGCAGAGCCCGACCCTGCTCTCCTGTCAGAGACTTGTGGGGTGAAAATTCCCCTCTGAGCCTCCTTTTCTCCAGGCAGTTCCAAAGCCTGACCACTTTTCCATGAGGAAATTGCTCATGTCCACCCTGAGCCTCTCCTGGAGGAATTTGGGGCTGTCCCCTCTCATTCTGCTGTTCCCTGGGAGCAGATCCTGACCCTGCTCTCCCCTCAGGGAGCTGTGGGGTGAAAAGGTCCCTCCTGAGCCTCCTTCCCTCCAGGCTGAGCCCTTCCCCAGCTCCCCCAGGGCTCTCCAGCCCTTCCCCAGCTCCCCAGGGCTCTCCAGCCCCTTCTCCTGCTGCCCCAGCCCTTCCCCAGCTCTGGCCACGCTCCATCCCCTCGATGTCTCCGTGGCCAGGAGGGCCCAGGGCTGGAGCCGGCACTGGAGGGGCCCCAGCAGTGCCAGCCCAGGGGGACAATCCCTGTCCCCAAGGCTGGGACAGCCCAGGTGCCATCCTGGGCACACCTGGCCACACCTGGGCTCTGTCCAGCTGCACCCCCAGGGCCTTTCCCAGCTTTCCAGCCCCTCTCCCCCAGCCTGGAGTGTTCCATGGGGTTGGTGGTGCCTTGTTGACCCACTGGCCTCAGCCCATCGTGCCCTCCAGCAGATCAACATCCCACCCAAACTGCTGCCATCCACAAACCAAGGCGCCACGGATAAAGACACCACACAGGGCAGTCTGTCCCTGCCATGGCACGTGTCCATCCAGCACCAGCTGCCCCAGCCAGGTGTGAACCCCAAGGAGCTCACCTGCCCCAAGGCTTCACTGGAGCCTCTCCCTCAGCCCTGCTCCCCACCCCTGCTGCAGGGCAGGGAGGAGCCCCCCTGAAGGGAACCCTGAGGGGATGAAGGGGTGACTCTGACTGAGCTGACCTGGGCTGCTGTCCAGGCAGCCTTTGGGACAGGAAGGAAAGGAGGGAACGGGCAGGTGGTGTTCCAGGACGGGCTATCAGCACCGGGATCTTCCCGGGAGGAAGGCTCCACCCTGGGGCCATGAAGGGCGAGCAGCAAAGCACCACGGAGCAGAGATTTCACCAACAATAAGCCACAACTTTATTAACCGATAGAAATAGTACAAATTTTAAATTTAGTCGTATTTTACTCTTCTCTCTGAAACACCAAAAAAGGCTCCTCCCTCCGGCGGCTACATCGTCAGCTCCTGCGGGGAGAAAGGGAGTCAGGAGGCAGCCCAGAGGCAGCAGCTGCCCCCAGGGACCCCCCAAAGCTGCTGCCCCCCCAGCACTCACCATTATGGCGTTTACAATGTCGTTGCTGTTGTTCTTGAGGGCTCGCACGGCCTTGGCCCGCGACACGTTCGCCTGCGACATCACCAGCTCGATGTCTTTCACCTCCACGCCGGTTTCGTCAACCTGGAGGAGGAACAGAGCCCAGGATTGGTGCCAGTTCCAAGCTTGGTACCAGTTCCAGGCTTGGCACGGGCTGGGATTAGACTGGAAGCCAGGGCAGGCCTGTGCTGTCAACACCGCCAGGGCAGCACCCTGTGCTCTCCCTTTGCACGGATGAAGGAGAGGAATTTGTGGATGAACCCAAAGCACGACTGGGGAAGGCCTTACCTCCTCTTCCTCGCTCTCCTCCTGCACGGTGGGGGTCTGTGTGTTTTCCTGGATGTTGGAAACAGGTTCTCCCTGCACTTTGAACTTTTCGGCAGCTGCCAGCTGAGCCTGCTGGGACAGGTCTTCGATCTGCAGGAGGGAAGGGAAGGGAAGGAGCAGTGAGGGCAGCCCTGGGCAGTGCCAGCACGCTGCCTGGCAGCAGCCACACGCTGCACAGGTGACAGGAAGGAGCCCTGCCCTGCTGGCGCCAGGGTGGGCTCACCTTGGCCTCGCCAAAGACGATGTAGGTGTCTGACGCCGGGCTCTTGTACACGTCTGGCTTTGTGATGACAAAGAGGATGTTCTTGGATTTCCGGATGGTGACTCTGGTGACTCCTGTCACCTGGCGAAGGCCCAGCTTGGACATTGCCTGAAAAACACCAGGGAAAGGTCAGTGAGGGAAGAAGAGCTCTGCAGCCAGCCCAGATGTGCCAACTCCTCTCTCCAAAATGCCACATTTGCTGCATGGAACACACGGAAATGTGCATCTGCTGCCACGGAGCAGCACCCCCGGGCTGCCAGCTGCAGGGAACACTCCAGTGCAGGCCTGGTGAGATCCCCAGAGCCCTGGGGCTGCTCTCCAGGCACAGTGCAGCCTCACCTTGCGAGCTTTCTTCTCGCTCCGGCTCTGTTTTGCTTTGCTGACGGGTTCTTCGTCTATCTCGGCTGCTGCCGCGAGCTGCAGGGAGGGAAAACCAGAGAGAAAACCAGAGGGATCCGTGACCATGCTGGGGTGACACCGCAGGGACTCTGATCCACCGTGTGCCACCTGCCCTACCTGTGCCTGCTGCGTCGTGGCCTGTGTGGAGTCCTGCTCTTCGAGCTCTGGTACGGATTCATCGCTGTCAGACTCTGTGCCAGACCCTGCAGAGACACACAGCCCTCACTCTTCCCACCCCAGGTAGGTCCAGGGCTGCTGGTTTGCTGCTGCTTCCCAGTGAAGCCACCAGTCAGCCCAGTTAGGTGGTGCTTGGAGCATTCCTTGCACTCTGAATGCCATCAGCAGGGTGGCACGAGTGGGTCCTCAGCCTCGTCGTGGTGGGAGCTGGGTGCCAGAGGTGCCCAGAGGCTCCAGAATGAATCCTGAGGTAGCTCCAGGCTGTGCCACCAGCTCGAGGAGGAGGTGGGTGGCATTCCCAGGGTGCTGAGGTGGCAGCAGCCCAGTGTGACAGAGCCCTTCTTGACTCGCCTCAAACCCAGAGCTGGCACATGGCACTGAGCCCCCACTCACTGAGCCCCCAGGGCTGCTGCACATCCCTGGCTCCACCACAGGGGTGCTCTGGGATAACCCCAAACCCCCCTGAGGGGACAGCACCTCTGGGTGCCCAGAGTGCCACCAGCTGCAGCTGGTCACAGCACTGCCCACACCAGTCACTGAAGCAGAGCCGGGTGTCCCCAGCCTCACCTGGAGGTGACCCTGGTGCTGCCGTGCAGCCGTTACCTGGATTCAGTCCTCGGGAGGAGCCTCTGTGCCCACAGCACACGGGAGCCCTGGCAAACCTCTCTGCAGGTGTCGGGGCGTGCCAACACTCCAGGCATAGCGTGGACAACCCAATTTGGCACCAACACTTGCCCACATCCCCAACCACACACAGCAGCGCGGGATGATCTGGGATAACCCCAAACCCCCCTGAGGGGACAGCACCTCTGGGTGCCCAGAGTGCCACCAGCTGCAGCTGGTCACAGCACTGCCCACACCAGTCACTGAAGCAGAGCCGGGTGTCCCCAGCCTCACCTGGAGGTGACCCTGGTGCTGCCGTGCAGCCGTTACCTGGATTCAGTCCTCGGGAGGAGCCTCTGTGCCCACAGCACACGGGAGCCCTGGCAAACCTCTCTGCAGGTGTCGGGGCGTGCCAACACTCCAGGCATAGCGTGGACAACCCAATTTGGCACCAACACTTGCCCACATCCCCAACCACACACAGCAGCGCCGGGCACGTGGCATCTTCGTGTGAAGCCAGCTCATCTCGCAGTGCCCATGCCACAAACCACAAAAAAACCACAAAAAACCCACACACCGTGCTCCGAGCACACGCGTTAGTGACCGCTGGCACCGTGCCCGTTAGTACCCCGTGGGCAGCCAGTGACACTCCATGCACACGGCAGGATGCAAATACCCTTGTCATTCTTGAGGACGGGCTGTGGGGCCGGGGGGGCCGGGACCCCCGTGGCAGGGGACAGCTCCAGCAGCACGGGTGGCTCGGGGGGGAGCAGAGGTGGCAGGTCCTCGTCGTCGGCTTTCGAGGGGGGCCGGGTGGCTGCTTTGGCCACCTTGTTATTGGGGAGGGGCTGCTGCTGCTTCTTGGCAGGGGTTGGGGGTTTTGGGGGGGCACCCGTGGTTGGGGCAGGAGCTGGGGGTGTGGCTGGAGTTGGAGTGGCCTTGACAGGGCTCTTTGGGGGTGCCTTGGCCTCAGAGGGGCTTTTTGAGGCTCCTTTGGCCTCAGCAGGGGTGGCTGGAGGAGGAGTGGCCTTGACAGGGCTTTTTGGGGGTGCCTTGGCATCAGCAGGGCTTTTTGGGGGTGCCTTGGCCTCAGCAGGGCTTTTTGGGGGTGCCTTGGCCTCAGCAGGGCTTTTTGAGGCTCCTTTGGCTGCAGCAGGAGCTGCTGGAGCTGGGGTGGCTTTGGCCTCAGCTGCAGGGGTTGGGGTGGCTTTGGCAGGGCTTTTTGGGGGTGTCTTAGCCTCAGGAGAGGCTGGGGTGGCTTTCACAGGGCTTTTTGGGGGTGTCTTAGCCTCAGGAGAGGGTGGGGTGCCCTTGGCAGGGCTCTTTGGGGGTGTCTTGGCTTCAGGAGAGGCTGCTGGAGCTGGGGTGGCTTTCACAGGGCTCTTTGGGGGTGTTTTGGCCTCAGGAGAGGCTGGGGTGGCTTTGGCAGGGCTTTTTGGGGGTGTTTTGGCCTCAGCTGGAGCTGGGGTGGCTGTAGCAGGGCTCTTTGGGGGTGCCTTGGCTTCAGCAGGGGCAGCTTTGTCAGGGCTTTTTGGGGGTGCCTTGGCTTCAGCAGGGGCAGCTTTGACAGGGCTTTTTGGGGGTGTTTTGGCCTCAGCAGGGCTTGGGGTGGCTTTGTCAGGGCTCTTTGGGGGTGCCTTGGCCTCAGCAGGGGCAGCTGAAGGTGCTGGAGGCACAGGAGCAGATGGGGCAGTGACGGGGCTGCCTTTGGGAGACTTTTTGGCTGCTCCAGGGGAAGCTGGAGCTGGGGTGGCTTTGGCAGGGCTCTTTGGGGGTGCCTTGTCCTCAGTGGGGGTGGCTTTGGCAGGGCTCTTTGGGGGTGTCTTGGCTTCAGGAGAGGCTGGGGTGGCTTTGGCAGGGCTCTTTGGGGGCGTTTTGGCTGCTGGGGGGGCAGCTGGAGCTGGTGGAGCTGCAGGAGCTGGGGTGGCAGGAGCTGGGGTGGCAGGGGATGGGGTGGCAGGGGATGGCGTGGTTGGAGTTGGGGTGGTTGGAGTTGGGGTGGCAGGAGCTGGGGTGGCAGCACCAGGGCTCTTGGGGGCACTTTTGGCTGCAGGTGGGGTGGCTGGAGCTGGGCTGGGAGGAGCTGCAGTGGCAGCTGAGGCAGCACCAGAACCTTTGGCAGCATCTTTGGCTGAGGGAGGGGCAGCTGGAGAGCGTGGAGCTGCCGTGGCCGCTGTGACAGGGGCACAGGGGACAGCGGCTGAACTCGGGGGAGCTGCTTTGGCCACAGGAGGGGTGGCCACAGGAGCCATGGCCGGTGTGACAGGGACAGAGGGGGCAGCTGGGGCAGTGACTGGGCTCCCAGGAGATGTTTTAGCCACAGGAGGAGTGGCAGGAACTGCCATGGCCGGTGTGACAGGGACAGAGGGGGCAGCTGGGGCAGTGACGGGGCTCCCAGGAGATGTTTTAGCCACAGGAGGGGTGGCAGGAGCTGCCATGGCCGGTGTGACAGGGACAGAGGGGGCAGCTGGGGCAGTGACTGGGCTCCCAGGAGATGTTTTAGCCACAGGAGGGGTGGCTGGAGGTGCCATGGCCGGTGTGACAGGGACAGCAGGAGATGTTTTAGCCACAGGAGGGGTGGCTGGAGGTGCCATGGCTGGTGTGACAGGGGCAGCAGGAGATGTTTTAGCCACAGGAGGGGTGGCAGGAGCTGCCATGGCCGGTGTGACAGGGACAGCAGCTGGACTTGGAGGAGCTGCTCTGGCAGCAGGAGGGGTGGCTGGAGTGGCCAGAGTGACAGGGGGACAGCTGGCAGAGGGGACAGCAGGCACAGGAGCTGCTGCTGGGAGCACAGGGCTGGCTGGAGACCCTGGGACAGGGATGGCAGCTGCCAGTGCAGGTGTGGGCAGGGCAGGAGGCACTGGAGCTCCTGCTGCCCGAGGGGCCGGGCTCCCAGGGGGGGTCCTTGTCACCGAGGGAGGGACGGGGTGTCCCACAGCTGGGGGACCCACGGGACAGGCCTTGGACACAGAAGGAGCAACTGGGAGCAGTGGTGAGACTGGGGCACCGGGGGCTGGGCCCGCAGCAGGATGCCCAGGGGACATGCCAGCTGCCAGCAGAGGGATAGGGGGTGACAGGGGAGCTTTGGGGGCAGCCAGGAACACAGGGGGAGAGATGGCACCCACCAGGGCTGCAGCTGGGGCTCGGGGAGAGCCTGGAGCAGCAGGACTTCCAGGAGACACTGGGGGAAGTGGGGGTGACCCTGGACTCTGGGGGGTCACTGCCACCGTGGGAGCAGGCAGCAAACTGGGGGGCACTGGTGGGGGAGATGCCAGAAGGGGACGGGATGGGGGAGGGAGGAGAGGGGCTGGGGGTGCTCCAGAGACAGGGAGAGGGGCAGGGGGTGCTCCAGAGGCAGGGAGAGGGGCTGGTGGTGCTCCAGAGGCAGGGAGAGGGGCTGGGGGTGCTCCAGAGGCAGGGAGAGGGGCTGGGGCTGCTCCCACAGTGGCAGCAGTTTTCATGGGAGAGGTGAGAGCAGCTGGGAGAGAACTGGGGCTCACTGGGGGGACAAGAGGGGCCACTGTCACTGCAGCAGCAGCAGCAGCCAGGCCAGGTGACACTGGAGCTGGGAATCCTGGGGACACTGGGCTAACTGGGGCAGGCCCTGGAGATCCTGGGGCTGCAAAACCCTGCGGAGCTGGAGGAGGGGCAGCGGTGGCTGGGGCCAGCAGAGGTGGGGCAGGGGGCTGGGGGGGCACGGAGAACACGGGGATGGCTGCAGCCGGGACCACGGGGGGGGACACGGGGCCGGGGGGGCCTGGCAGAGCCGGGGCAGCGCTGGGCAGCTGTGCCTGGGCGGATGGAGATGGAGTCAGAGGTGGGGAGTGAGCAGCATGAAGAACAGCTAAAGGAGAGAAACAGAGCGAGCCATGAGAGGAGGAGACACAGGGAGGGGGCACGAGGCCAGCCCTGGCATTCCTCTGGTCTCTGTGCCTGGCTTCTGGCCCAGCAGGCACTGCCAGGGTTGGCACGGAGCAGGATGTTCATGCCCTTCTAGAACACCATTTTCCTGAGAGCCCTGCATGGCAGGAGGCACTCCCTGAACCACCAGGAAGCCCCAGCAGGCCAGGGATGAAGGGATCCAGCTCTGCCCTACCAAAGGGGCTGTCACAACCCCCCTGGAGCCCCAAAAGTCTGTCAGGACACCCAGGGCTGCTCACGAGCCTGGGGTCACCCCCTGAGCTGCAGGGAGCAAGGGGGAACAAACACCCACCCAAAAAGAAGTCAAATAAAACCCACTGGCATGTGGAATTACTCCTGAAGCGCCCTGGGAGCCCCCTCCCTCAGCTGTGGGTGACTTGGGCAGATGGCCTGAGGGCACAGTGACATGGGGGTGGTGGGGCCAGGCCCCCCAGTGCCCCCCAGTTCCCTGGCAGCTGTTAGGGTTAATGGAGTGCAACCCCCAGAATGGCACACGCTGGTTAATGTGGCACACGAGGGGTTACAGGAGTACCTGGAGCAGGGATGGGAGCAGCAGCGGGGGCAGCTGGAGCTGAACAGGGAGAACAACAGTTCATTAAGGCAAGGAGAGCTTCCAGCTCCCCAGCCAGGCCCAAGAGAGCCCGGAGAGAGCCCTGACATTCCAACACCAGCTGTGAGCCAAGGGCACTGCCCAGGCCACAGAGCTGAGCTTCCAGCTCCTGAGTGCCCGGAGAGAGCCCTGACATTCCCAGTGATATTCCCAATAAAATTCCCAATGCCAACCAGCAATCAGGGCACTGTTTAGAGGGAAGAGCCCATGCCAGGGCTGAACTTCCAGCCCCTAGACAGAGTTGAGAGCCTGCAGAGAGCCCTGACATTTGACATTCCAACACCAGCTGTGAGCCAAGGGCACTGCCCAGGCCACAGAGCTGAGCTTCCAGCTCCTGAGTGCCCGGAGAGAGCCCTGACATTCCAACACCAGCTGTGAGCCAAGGGCACTGCCCAGGCCACAGGGCTGAGCCCGGAGAGAGCCCTGACATTCCAAACGAAATTCCCAATGCCAACCAGCAATCACAGGGCACTGTTTAGGGAAGAGGCCATGCCAGGGTTCAGCTTCCAGCTCCTGAGCCAGAACTGAGAGCCTGGAGAGACATTCCCAAGAAAATTCCCAGTGCCAACCAGCAATCACAGGGCACTGTTTAGGGAAGAGGCCATGCCAGGGCTGAGCTTCCAGCTCCTGACCAGAGCTGAGAGCCTGCAGAGAGCCCTGACATTCCCAGTGATATCCCCAGTGAAATTCCCAATGCCAACCAGCAATCAAAGGGCACTGTTTAGGGAAGAGCTCATGCCAGGGCTGAGCTTCCAGCTCCTGAGCCAGAGTTGAGCCTGGAGAGACATTCCCAATGAAATTCCCAGTGCCAACCAGCAATCACAGGGCACTGTTTAGGGAACAGGCCATGAGAAGAGGGTTTAGCTCCCAGCTCCCGAGAGCCTGCAGAGAGCCCTGGCATTCCCAGCGATATTCCCAGTGAAATTCCCAATGCCAACCAGCAATCAAAGGGCACTGTTTAGGGAAGAGGCCATGCCAGGGCTGAGCTTCCAGCCCCTAGACAGAGTTGAGCCTGGAGAGACATTCCCAATGAAATTCCCAGTGCCAACCAGCAATCACAGGGCACTGTTTAGTGAACAGGCCATGAGAAGAGGGTTCAGCTCTCAGCTCCCAAGAGCCTGCAGAGAGCCCTGACATTCCCAGTGAAATTCCCAGTGCCAATCAGCAATCACAGGGCACTGTTTAGGGAAGAGGCCATGCCAGGGCTGAGCTCCCAGCTCCCTGCAGAGCCCTGGCATTCCCAGCGTGACTCCCAGAGGAGTTCCAGGGCAGGGCAGGGCCGTGCTGGTCCAACCAGCAGAACCAGCCCGGGCACGGAGCCGCCCTGGGCAGAGCCAGCCCCGTCCCATGGCTCCTGTCCCTCCCAGGGGCTGTGCCCCTGTCCCGCCCTGGCATCAGGCGTGTCCTGCTCCTGCTGCCACCCACGGAATGCGGGAATGACATCCCTGTCCCTGCCACGGGAATGGGATCCCAAAAAATGCTGCTAATGCCCCATTTTACCCCCATTTTACCCCAAACCAGAGCTCTGTGGGAAGGATGGAGCTGGGCATCAGTGCCAGGACATTTCCTGCTCCAAGAACGTCCTGGTGCCTCCCAAAGGAGCAGCAAGTTCTGCCAAGGGCACGGAACAGGCCGTGCAGAGCAGCCCCTTCCAGAACAATCCTTCATCCCTGCTCCTTCCCAGCACATTCCTGATGGACACAATCATTCCTGCTTCTCCCCCGAGCCCCACTCGGGTGCTCCTCAAACATCCCAAGCTAAAGGATTCCCCAAAACCTGGGCATTTCTGCCCACAACCCCTCTGGATCAGCCCCACATCTCCAGAGTTTTTCCAGAGACTTCCAAGGAAGGTGAAAACCCAAGGAGCTGCCTGAGGAACGCCAGGAGCAGCAGAATTTTGGGAGCTGGCAGCCGAGAGGGACAGGAGAGGCACTGCAGGGAGAGGGCCCCAAAGAGGAATTCCAGCTACGCCGGGAGGGACAAGGAGCTGGGCAGCTCCTGGGAATCACGGGGCAGCTGCCACAGCAGCAGCCACCACCCAGCTCCTCCTGTGCCCCCTCCCTGCCACCGAGCCTCAGCGGGGCCCCCCAACGGGGCAGACCCCAAATCCTAGGAGAAAACCCCAAATCCAATGGGACAGACCCCAAATCCAATGAGAAAACCCCAAATCCTATGAGAAAACCCCAAATCCAATGAGAAACACCCAAATCCAATGGGACAGACCCCAAATCCAATGGGGCAGACCCCAAAATTCAATGAGAGACCCCCAAATCCAACGGGACAGACCCCAAATCCTATGACAGACCCCCAAATTCATTAAGACCCCCAAATCCAACGGGACAGACCCCAAGTTCAACCAGGCAGATCCCAAAAATTCAGTAAAAGACCCCCAAATCCAACAAGACAGATGTCCAAAATTCAATTAAAGACCCCCAAATCCAATGGGACAGGCCCCCAAATCCAGAGGGACAGACCCCCAAAATTCAATGAAAGACCTCAAATCCAAAGGGGAGACCCCCCCAAAATTCAGTGAGAGACCCCCAAATCCATGGGGCAGACCCTCAAGTCCAGCAGGACAGGACCCCAAATCCAACAGGACAGGTCCCAAATTCCATAGGACAGGCCCCCAAGTTCAGTGGCACACGTCCCCAAATCCCACAGGACAGGTCTCCAAATCCCATAGGACACCAAACCCAAAGGGACAAGACCCCAAATCCAATGGGACAGGATCCCCCAATCCAGCAGGACAAGTCCCCCAATCCCACAGGACAGGATCCCCAAATCCAATGGCACAGGACCCTAAATCCAATGGGACAGGTCCCAAAATCCAAGGGGAAAGGATCCCCAAATCCAATGGGACAGGTCCCCAAATCCTACAGGACACGATCCCCAAATCCAACAGCACAGGTCCCCAAATCTCAGAGGACAGGATCCCAAATCCAAGGGGATGGGATCCCCAAATCCCACAGGACAGGTCCCAAAATTCAATGGGGCAGGATCCCCAAATCCCACAGGACAGGACCCTAAATCCAAGGGGACAGGATCCCCAAATCCAGTGGGACAGGATCCTAAATCCCACAGGACAGGATCTCAAATCCCACAGGACACGTCCCCAAATCCAGCGGGACAAGTCCCCCAATCCCATAGGACACGATCCCCAAATCCAGCGGCACAGGACCCCAAATCCCACAGGACAGGACCCCAAATCCCACAGGACAGGACCCCCACCCCACCACCCCGACCCGGCCACGGCCGCTGCCCTCCCCTCCCGCCCCAGCCGAGCTCGGAGCCACCCCCGGCCCCGGTCCCGGGACACGGAGTCCCCGCTCCGCCCAATCCTACAGGACACGATCCCCAAATCCAACAGCACAGGTCCCCAAATCTCAGAGGACAGGATCCCAAATCCAAGGGGATGGGATCCCCAAATCCCACAGGACAGGTCCCAAAATCCAAGGGGATGGGATCCCCAAATCCCATAGGACAGGATCCCAAATCCCACAAGACAGGATCCCAAATCCCACAGGAAACCAAATCAAGGGGACAGGACCCTAAATCCAAGGGGAAAGGATCCCCAAATCCAAGGGGACAGGATCCTAAATCCCACAGGACAGGTCCCAAAATCCAATGGGGCAGGATCCCCAAATCCAGCGGGACAGAATCCCCAAATCCCACAGGACAGGACCCTAAATCCAAGGGGACAGGATCCCCAAATCCAGTGGGACACGATCCCAAATCCCACAGGACAGGACCCTAAATCCAAGGGGACAGGATCCCCAAATCCCACAGGACAGGACCCCCACCCCACCACCCCGACCCGGCCACGGCCGCTGCCCTCCCCTCCCGCCCCAGCCGAGCTCGGAGCCACCCCCGGCCCCGGTCCCGGGACACGGAGTCCCCGCTCCGCTCCCGCTCCCCGCGGGACCCACAGCACCGGCCCGGTTCTCTCCGAGACCCCGGAACAGACCCCCCAAAACCCCAAGACCCGTGACGGGACTCGAACCGGGCTCACGCAGGTGAGGGAACCGCGGGAATCCCCCCCGGGCCTCACCTGTCTCCGCCTGCGGCTGCGGCAGCTCCTGCTCCGTGGCCGGGACGGTTTCTGTGGCTTCGCCGGGCATTTCTACGGGAATGGAGAAACCGACAGGCCCGGGCTCGCCGGGGCTCCGCCACAGCGTCCTGCCCACCCCGCGGGGACACCGCGCAAGCCCCACCAGCGGGAGGATCCACCGGCACAGCTCGGCCGCACGGCACCGGCAGAGCCCGGCCGCGGTCCCGGTCCCGGGCCTAGGCCGCCTCCTTCCCCCCCCTCCGCCCTTCTCGGCGCGCCCACGACCCCACCGATGGCCTCAACCGGGTCCTGCCGGCCACCCGCTCATGCCGCTAGCGGCGAGCGGCGCCCCGAGCGGCGGATGGCGGCGGATGGCGGCGGATGGCGGCGCGGGACTCACTGTGCGGGGAGCGGGGCCCAAGATGGCGGCGGAAAGAGACCGAGAGGGCAGCGCGACTTCCGGGAGCGCGCGACTTCCGGGGCAGGGGGAGAGCGCGGCAACACGGCCCGGCCCGGCCCCCGCGGCCGCGCTCCGGAGTTCCGGGCTCTGTTCGGGCCCCACCGTGGGAGCGGGGAGACCCCGGGGGGGGGATGGGAACCAAGGGGTCAGGACAGGTTTAGGGGGTCCAGGCAGGATTAGGGGGTCAGGATGGGTTTAGGGGTCAGGGCAGGGATCGGGGCAGGATTATGGGGTCAGGGCAGGGTCCAGGCAAAGTTATGGGGTCAGGACAGGATTAGGGGGTCAGGACAAGGGTTCAAGGCAGGTTTAGGGGGTCAGGCAGGGGGTCCAGACACGACTGGGAGTCAGGACAGGGTCCAGGCAGGGTTAGGGGGTCAGGAGAGGTTTAGGGGGTCAGGCAGGGGGTCCAGACACGACTGGGAGTCAGGACAGGGTCCAGGCAGGGTTAGGGGGTCAGGAGAGGTTTAGGGGGTCAGGGTAGGGTTAGGGGTTCCAGACAGGATTATGGGATCAGGACAGAGTCCAGGTGGAGTTATGGGGTCAGGACAGGGTTACGGGGTGAGGACAAGGGTTCAAGGCAGGATTAGGGGGTCCAGGCAGGATTCTGGGATCAGGACAGGTTTAGGGGGTCAGAGCAGGTCAGAACAGGGGGTCCAGGTGGGATTATGGGGTCAGGACATGGTTAGGGGGTCAGGGTAGGGATCAGGGCAGGGTTATGGGGTCAGACAGGGTCCAGGCAGGGTTAGGGGGTCAGGACAGGGCTGGGGGGTCAGGGTAGGGGGCCAGGGCAGGTTTAAGGGGTCAGAACTGGTTTAGGGGGTCGGGGCAGGGGGTCCAGGCAGGGTTATAGGGTCAGGACAAGTTTAGGGGGTCAGGACAAGTTTAGGGGGTCCAGGCAGGATTGTGGGGTCAGGACAGGGTTGGGGGGTCCAGGCAGGGCCTGGGGGCAGCGACCCCACACTGAGACCAGGGACCCCTTCCCATCTCCCCCCCAGAGCAGGGACCCCCACCCCCAGCCGCCCCCACCCCGCCCCCCCCCCCAGCAGCCCCCAGCCCAAAGCTGAGCAGAAACATTTAATGGGTTTTTTTGTGCAGAAAACGGTACAAAAGGTACAAAAACAGAGAAAAACAGAGCAGGGCCGGGGGGCTGGGGGGGCTGGGCTGCTCCAGGGACCCCCCGGGCCAGGGGAGGTGACAGTGACACCTCGGGAGGTGACAGTGACACCTCGGGAGGTGACAGTGGCAGCGTCAGGGGCTCAGAAATCTCCCTGGAGATCTGCAGAAAAAGGAGAAACGGGGAGGTTTTGTGAAGGGTTTGACAGGAAAAACAAAAGAGCAGAGATGGGACAGCAGCGGCTCCTTCGGGTGTGCCCGGCTGTCACCTCCAGGTCCCAGATCTGGTGGGACAGAGCCCAAAATTCAGTGAGAAACCCCCAAATCCAGAGGGACAGACCCCAAAATTCAATGAAAGACCCCAAAATCCAAAGGGAGAGACCCCAAAATTCAGTGAGAGACCCTAAATCCAGAGGGACAGACCCCAAAATTCAACTAAAGACCCCCAAATGCAATGACAGACCCCAAATCCAACAACAGACCCCCAAATCCCACAGGGCAGACCCCAAATCCAAAGGGACAGACCCCAGATCTAAAGGGACAGACCTCCAAAATTCAATTAAAGACCCCCAAATCCAATAGGACAGACCCCAGATCAAATGAGAGGCCCCCAAATCCCACAGGGCAGACCCCAAATCCAAAGGGACAGACCCCAGATCTAAAGGGACAGACCTCCAAAATTCAATTAAAGACCCCCAAATCCAATAGGACAGACCCCAGATCAAATGAGAGGCCCCCAAATCCCACAGGGCAGACCCCCAAAATGCAGTGAGAGACCCCAAATCCCATGAGAGACCCCCAAATCTAAAGGGACAGACCCCAAACAGGACAGACCCCCAAAATTCAACTAAAGACCCCCAAATCCAGAGGGACAGACCCCAAATCCCACAGGGCAGGGACAGACCCCAACATTCAATGGAAGACCCCAAAATCCAAAGGGAGAGACTCCAAAATTCAGTGAGAAACGCCCAAAGCCGAGGGGACAGACCCCAAAATTCAGTGAGAGACCCTAAATCCAGAGGGACAGACCCCAAAATTCAGTGAGAGACCCTAAATCCAGAGGGACAGACCCCAACATTCAATGGAAGACCCCAAAATCCAAAGGGAGAGACTCCAAAATTCAGAGGACAGACCCCAGATCAAATGAGAGGCCCCCAAATCCCACAGGGCAGACCCCCAAAATGCAGTGAGAGACCCCAAATCCCATGAGAGACCCCCAAATCTAAAGGGACAGACCCCAAACAGGACAGACCCCCAAAATTCAACTAAAGACCCCCAAATCCAGAGGGACAGACCCCAAATCCCACAGGGCAGACCCCAAATCCAATGGGAGGTCCCAAATCCAGCAGGGCAGACCCCAAAGCCCACAGGGCAGGCCCCAAATCCCACAGGGCAGATCCCCAAAATTCAATTAAAGACCCCCAAATCCAATGACAGACCCCAAATCCAGCAGGGCAGACTCCAGATCCAAAGGGACAGACCCCAAAAACCCAATGGGAGACCCCCCAAATCCAATGGGATAGGATCCCAACCCCAACAAGAGACCCCCAAACCCAATGGGAGACCCCCCAAATCCAGCAGGGCAGACCCCAAATCCAAAGGGCAGACCCCAGATCTAAAGGGACAGACCTCCAAAATTCAATTAAAGACCCCCAAATCCAATAGGACAGACCCCAGATCAAATGAGAGGCCCCCAAATCCCACAGGGCAGACCCCCAAAATGCAGTGAGAGACCCCAAATCCCATGAGAGACCCCCAAATCTAAAGGGACAGACCCCAAACAGGACAGACCCCCAAAATTCAACTAAAGACCCCCAAATCCAGAGGGACAGACCCCAAATCCCACAGGGCAGACCCCAAATCCAGCAGGGCAGACCCAAATCCCACAGGGCAGACCCCAAAGCCCCCGGCAGACCCCCGGAGCCGCTCCCAGGGCCGTTGTGGGGTCCCCACCGCTGTGGCGGATGCGCTCTCCCCGCCGGGCGCTCTCCAGGCCCTCCACAAACTGCTCCAGCAGCCGCACGTACGGGGCCAGGCTGGTCCTCCGGTAGTCTGGGGGGTGGGGAGGGGCTGCTGGCATCCCAAAATCCCAGCCCTGACCCCAAAACCCCAGCCCTGACCCCATCCCTGTCCCCCAAACCCAGACCCCACACCCCAAACTCCACCCCAAACCCAAACCCGGAACCTGCACCTCACCCCAAACCCCACCCCTGACCCCACACCTTGTCCCCAACCCGGTCAGGGATGGAGTTTGGGGTGTGGGGTCAGGGTTTGGGGTCAGGGGTGGGGTTAGGTTTAAGGTTTAGGATTTGGGTTAGGGTTTGGGTTAGGGTTTAAGGTTTAGGATTTAAGGTTCAGGGTTAGGGTTAGCGTTTAAGGTTTAGGGTTTAGGTTTAAGGTTTAGGGTTAGGGTTTAGGGTTAGGGTTTAAGGGTTAGGGTTAGGGTCAGGGTTTGGGACGTGCTCCCGGCTGACGTACGTGATGGTGGGCACGGAGAATGGATCAAACTGGGTTAGGGTTAGGGTTAGGGTTAGCGTTTAAGGTTTAGGGTTTAGGTTTAAGGTTTAGGGTCAGGGTTTAGGGTGAAGGTTTGGGACATGCCGGGGGCTCTGGCAGCACAGGTAGCTGACGTACGTGATGGTGGGCACGGAGAATGGATCAAACTGGGTTAGGGTTAGGGTTTAGGGTCAGGGTTTAGGGTCAGGGTTAGGGTTAGGGTTAGGGTTAGTGTTTAGGGTTAGGGTTAGGGTTTGGGACGTGCTCCCAGCTGACGTTAGGGTTAGGGTCAGGGTCAGGGTCAGGGTTTCGGGTCAGGGTTTAGGGTCAGGGTTTAAGGTTTAGGGTCAGGGTTTAGGGTCAGGGTTTGGGACGTCTCCCGGCTGACGCACGTGATGGTGGGCACCGAGAATGGATCAAACTGGGTTAGGGTTAGGGTTAGGGTTAGGGTCAGGGTCAGGGTTTAGGGTCAGGGTCAGGGACATCTCCCGGCTGACGCACGTGATGGTGGGCACCGAGAATGGATCAAACTCCTCGAGCTTCTGCAGGTCCAGCGGGACCGAAATGCGCCCTGGGACACGGGGAGAGGTCAGGAGTTGGGAATCAAATTTGGGTGAGTCAGGGGTGTTTGAAAAAGTTGGGGTTTTTTTATATCTCCTGTTTTTTATCTCACTTTATTTGAAGGGTGAGATAATAGAGATGTTATAAATAATAATAATAATAATAACAATAATAATAATACTGCTACAGTATAATATTTTGTAATATACCCATTATAGATATAGTTCCTATATAATATATATACAATTATATATTCTTATTTTATATTTTATATAATATATTTTATTCTACAATATATTATATCAGCACAGCCCCCCCCGCCCCTCCCCTGTTGCCCCTCACCTGTTTTGGGGTCCAGCCCCTCCCCTGTTTTGGGGTCCAGCCCCTCACCTGTTTTGGGGTCCAGCCCCTCCCCTGTTTTGGGGTCCAGCCCCTCACCTGTTTTGGGGTCCAGCCCCTCCCCTGTTTTGGGGTCCAGCCCCTCACCTGTTTTGGGGTCCAGCCCCTCCCCTGTTTTGGGGTCCAGCCCCTCACCTGTTTTGGGGTCCAGCCCCTCCCCTGTTTTGGGGTCCAGCCCCTCACCTGTTTTGGGGTGCACGCTGAAGGGGCTCTTGAGCAGGTGGCCGAGCCCCTTGCTGACGTTGCCGTCGAGGCGGGGGAAGCAGAGCTGCAGCATCACCTCCCACTCGGGGTGCCCCAGGCGGGCGCGCTCGCGCTCGGCGCGCGCCCGCAGCAGCTCCCAGCGCTGCACCGAGTCCTTCCTGCGCGGGAACTCGGCCCGCAGCGGCTCCCGCAGCTCTGGCCGCGTCAAGGCTCGGCCACAGCCGTTCTTTTTCTGCTTGGTTTTTGACATTTTGCCCTTCCAGGATACGTTTTACCCTTCCAGGATCTGCTTCAGCCTTTCCAGGACCCCATTTAGCCTTCTAGAACCCCATTTACCCTTCCAGGATCCCATCTACCCTTACAGGATCTGTTTTACCCTATCCAGAGTCCCATTTACCCTTCTAGGATCCCATTCAGCCTTCCAGGATACGTTTTACCCTTACAGGATCTGCTTCAGCCTTTCCAGGATCCCATTTAGCCTTCTAGAACCCCATTTACCCTTCCAGGATCCCATCTACCCTTACAGGATCTGTTTTACCCTATCCAGAGTCCCATTTACCCTTCTAGGATCCCATTCAGCCTTTCCAGGATCCCATTTACCCTTCTAGGACCCCATTTACCCTTCCAAGATCCCATTCACCCTTTCCAGGATGCCATTTTAACCCCATATTTTAACTTTAACCCTCTATTTTAACCCCACATTTTACCTTTAACCCCACCTTTTAACCCCATATTTCAACTTTAACCCCATGCTTTAACCCCATATTTTAACCTTAACCCTGTATTTTAACCCCATCTTTTAACCCCATATTTTAACTTTAACCCTCTATTTTAACCCCACATTTTACCTTTAACCCCACCTTTTAACCCCATATTTCAACTTTAACCCCATGCTTTAACCCCATATTTTAACCTTAACCCTGTATTTTAACCCATGCCATTTACTCTTCTAAGATTCCATTCACCCTTCTAGGATGTCATTTACCCTTCCAGGACCCCATTTACCCTCCTAGGACCCCATTTACCCTTCTAGGATCCCATTTACCCTTCCAGGATCTGTTTTACCCTTACAGGATCTGTTTTACCCCTTCCAGGACCCCATCTACCTTTCCAGGATGCCATTTACCCTTCCAGGATCTGTTTTATCCTTTCTAGGATCCCGTCTACCCTTTCAGGATCCCATTTACCCTTCTAGGACCCCATTTACCCTTCCAAGATCCCATTCACCCTTTCCAGGATGCCATTTTAACCCCATATTTTAACTTTAACCCTCTATTTTAACCCCACATTTTACCTTTAACCCCACCTTTTAACCCCATATTTCAACTTTAACCCCATGCTTTAACCCCATATTTTAACCTTAACCCTGTATTTTAACCCTATCTTTTAACCCCATATTTTAACTTTAACCCCTTTATTTTAACCCCATATTTCAACTTTAACCCCCTATTTTACCCTGATATTTTAACTTTAACCCTATATTTTAACTTTAACCCCCTAAATTAACCCCATATTTCAACTTTAACCCCCTATATTAACCCTATATTTTATTTTTAACCCCATTTTAACCCCATATTTTAACTTTAACCCTTCTTTTAACCTGATATTTCAACTTTAACCCCATTTTAACCCCCTATTTTACCCTGATATTTTAATTTTAACCCCATGCTTTCACCCCATATTTTAACCCCATACTTTAACTTTAACCCCATCTTTTAACCCCATATTTTAGTTTTAACCCCATGTTTTAGCTTTAACCCCACGCTTTAACCCCATTTTAACCCCATCTTTTAACTTTAACCCCATGCTTTAACGCCATATTTTAACTCTGACCCCCTATTTTAACCCCACCTTTTAACCCTGTATTTCAACTTTAACCCCATCTTTTAAACCATATTTTATTTTTAACCCCATATTTTGACCTTAACCCCCTATTTTAATTTTAACCCCCTATATTAACCCCATCTTTCAACTTTAACCCCATGCTTTAACCCCACATTTTAACTTTAACCCTCTATTTCAACGCTCTCTTTTAACCCCATATTTTAACTTTAAACCCATCTTTTAACCCCATATTTCAACTTCAACCCCATATTTTAATTTTAACCCCATATTTTAACTTTAACCCCCTATATTAACCCCATCTTTTAACCCCATATTTCAACTTTAACCCCCTACATTAACCCTATATTTAAATTTTAACCCCCTATTTTAATCCCATATTTTATCCCTATTTTTTAAACTTTTTTAACCCCTTCCTCCCCACCCCCCAGGCAGCAAGGATACCCTCGGGGAGCAGGGCCAGCACCTTGTCCCACCTCTCGGGGCTGCCCAGGATGTCCTGTCCCCTCAGCGCGTGCTCCTCGAAGTATTTCTGCACCACGGCCACCGAGCGCCTGCGGGACAGCCCAAAGATGGGCAAAAAGGGCTTTTTTGGACCCAAACGTGGGGCAACCGAGAGGCTTTTGAAAAGCTTTTATTCTGGTTTTAAGCCTCACGCCAAAGGCGGGACAATGCAGATGTTATAATTCACACCATCACGATTAAAAGGTAATTATTTCTTAATTATGAGGTATTATAAGCATTTTTGTCCTTTAAAAATGGACAAATATTCTTTAAATTCAATTCTTTAAATTCAATAATTTAAATCATTTAAATTCAATAATTTAAATAATTTAAATAATTTAAATACAATAATTTAAATAATTTAAATCTGGGACAATGCAGATGTTATAATTCAAACCATCACGATTAAAAGGTAATTATTTCTTAATTATGAGGTATTATAAGCATTTTTGTCCTATCAGCTTTTGCCACAGCACGCTGTTCTTTAAATTCAATAATTTAAATAATTTAAATCATTTAAATTCAATAATTTAAATAATTTCAATAATTTAAATTCAATAATTTAAATAATTTCAATAATTTAAATTCAATAATAAGCATTTTTGTCCTATCAGCTTTTGCCACAGCACGCTGTTCTTTAAATTCAATAATTTAAATAATTTAAATCATTTAAATTCAATAATTTAAATAATTTAATTCTTTAAATCCAATAATTTCAAATTACCCCTCGTGGCTCCTAATAAATATATAATAAATAATAATAATTATATATAATAAATAATAATAATAAATAACAGAATTCTGTTTCTCTGAAGCATTTATTTTTATTTGTTTTTCTCAGCAGTGTCTGTCCCATTTCCAAGCCAGCATTTCTCATCTCGAGGTTTGCAGATGTGGGAGTTTTGTCAGGCTTGGGGAATTCTCTATAAATTAATTTTTCCACATTTCCCCCTCTCTCAAACTTCTTTGATGGTTTTGTTACAGTGAAGTACACGAGGCACTAACATTGTCACTATAACAATTAATGTACAGAAACCTTTTCTAAGAAGTAATCTAAAAAATTTGGTTTAATTCTTGCTACTTTTTAATTTTAATTACTGTTAATAAATTTTTCTTTATACCCTTTTAAAATTTTAAGCCAACTTTACCTTTCTCCTAATCCTATCTCACAAGAAATAAATAAATTGGTGATTGGCCAACAATAAAACCCACCATGCTCATCAATATATTAATTTTAAAAATCTCAAAATTAAAAAAAAATCTGAAATTAACAAACCAAAACCACTACAATCAATGTAAATAAACTTATTTTGCAAAGCTCCTTTAGCCAGGGTGAATTTTATATATAAAAAATAAAAATATTATAACATCAGCACGAATTTTAACATCTGTATTGTCCCACCCTTCACGTGAGACTGAAAACAGAATAAAATTTTTTTAAATTCCTCTCTTTTTATCCCAATTTTGGGTCAAAAAAAGGTTTAAGGGGGCAGGGGCTGACCCACCTGATGAAGGGGTGCACGGGGTGGGACAGGTTCACCTTCTTCACCGTGTCTGCACCGCCCTGGGGGCACAGGGGCAGCCTGGGGGTGGGCACGGGGCTGGGCACCCAAACCCACCTGCTCCAGGGGGTGCCCAGAGACCCCCAAACCCACCTGCTCCAGGGGCAGGGGGGCTGGGCACCCCAAACCCACCTGCCCCAGGGGCAGGGGGTGCCCAGACCCCCCAAACCCACCTGCTCCAGGGGGTGCCCAGAGACCCCCAAACCCACCTGCTCCATGGGCAGGGGGTGCCCAAAGCCCCCCAAAGTCATTCTCAACAGGGGCAGGGGGTGCCCAGAGACCCCCAAACCCACCTGCTCCAGGGGGTGCCCAGAGACCCCCAAACCCACCTGCTCCAGGGGCAGGGGGTGCCCAAAGCCCCCCAAAGTCATTCTCAACAGGGGCAGGGGGGCTGGGCACCCCAAACCCACCTGCCCCAGGGGCAGGGGGTGCCCAGACCCCCCAAACCCACCTGCTCCAGGGGGTGCCCAGAGACCCCCAAACCCACCTGCTCCAGGGGCAGGGGGTGCCCAGAGACCCCCAAACCCACCTGCTCCATGGGCAGGGGGTGCCCAAAGCCCCCCAAACCCCCCTGCTCCAGGGGCAGGGGTGCCCAAAGCCCCCCATAGTCATTTTCAGCAGGGTCAGGGGGTACCTAAAGCCCCCCAAACCCACCTGCTTCAAGGTCAGGCAGTGCCTAGACCCCCACAAATCCATCTGCTTCAGGGGCAGGGGGTGCCCAGACCCTTCAAACCCATTTTTATCAGGGGCAGGGGGTGCCCAGACCCCCCACAAATTCATTTTCAGCAGGGTCAGGGGGTACCCACACCCCCCCAAGCCCACCTTCCACAGGCTCAGGGAGTGCCCAAACCCCCCTGGCACCCATTTTCACCAGGCTCAGGGGTACCCAAACCCCCCAAATCCATTTTCAACCAGGCTCAGGGGTACCCAAACCCACTTTCCACAGGATCAGGGGTACCCAAACCCCCCTGGCACCCCCCTTCCCCAGGCTCAGGGGTACCCACAGCCCTGGCACCCACCTTCACCAGGCTCAGGGGTACCCAAAGCCCCACAAATCCACATCCACAAGGGTGAGGGGATGCCCAAACCCCCTGGCACCCACCTTTACCAGTCCCAGGGGTACCCACAGCCCTGGCACCCACCTTCACCAGGCTCAGGGGTACCCACACCCCTGGCACCCACCTTCCCCAGGCTCAGGGGCACCCACAGCCCTGGCACCCACCTTCCCCAGGCTCAGGGGCACCCACACCCCTGCCACCCACCTTCCCCAGTGGGGTACCCACACCCCCCCAAGCCCACCTTCCACAGGCTCAGGGAGTGCCCAAACCCCCCTGGCACCCATTTTCACCAGGCTCAGATGTACCCAAACCCCCCAAATCCATTTTCAACCAGGCTCAGGGATACCCAAATCCCCTTTCCCCAGGCTCAGGGGTACCCAAACCCACCTTCACCAGACTCAGGGGTACCCACACCCCCTGGCACCCACCTTCCCCAGGCCCAGGGGCACCCACACCCCTGGCACCCACCTTCACCAGGCCCAGGGGTACCCAAACCCACCTTCACCAGGCTCAGGGGTACCCACACCCCTGGCACCCACCTTCCCCAGGCTCAGGGGCACCCACAGCCCTGGCACCCACCTTCCCCAGGCTCAGGGGCACCCACACCCCTGGCACCCACCTTCCCCAGTCCCAGGGGCACCCACAGCCCTGGCACCCACCTTCACCAGGCTCAGGTACTCCACTGCAGCTGCCCTCAGGGCTGGGGACCATTTCCTGACGGCGTCGTCGCACACCCAGCAGTGCACCCCCCTCCTGCCAGAGTACACCCACAGGCGGTGCCGCACGCCCAGGTCCTCTGGGGGGGCACAGAGATGGGCTTTGGGGGGGCACAGATGGGGTTTGGGGGGGTACAGATGGGTTTTGGAGGGGCATAGACGGGGTTTGGGGGGGCATAGATGGAATTTGGAGCTGCACACATGGGGTTTGGAGGGGCACACATGGGTTTTAGGGGCCATAGATGGGTTTTGAGGGGCATAGATGGGGTTTTGGGGGGCATTGATGGAATTTGGAGGGGCACACGTGGGGTTTTGGGGGGGTAACAGATGGGTTTTGGAGGGGCATAGTTGGGTTTGGGGGGACACACTGGGGTTTTGGGGGGGCACAAATGGGTTTGAAGGGGCACACGTGGGGTTTGGGGAGGTACTGATGGGTTTTGAGGGGGCACAGATGGGTTTAGGGGGGCAGAGATGGGTTTGCAGGGGCACAGATGGGTTTTGGGTGGGCACACATGGGTTTGGAGGGACATAGATAGGTTTAGAAGGGGCACAGAGGAGTTTTGGAGGGGCACAGAGGAGTTTTGGAGGGGCACAGAGGAGTTTTGGAGGGGCACAGATCGGTTTTGGAGGGCATAGATGGGGTTTGGGGGGCACAGATGGTGTTTGGGGGGAGCACAAATGTGTTTTCAGGGGGTACAGATGGGTTTGGGGGGGCACAGATGGGTTTGAAGGGGCACAGATGGGTTTTGGAGGGCATAGATGGGGTTTGGGGGGCACAGATGGTGTTTGGGGGGGCACAAATGGGTTTTCAGGGGGTACAGATGGGTTTGAAGGGGCACAGATGGGTTTTGGAGGGGCATAGGTGGGGTTTGGGGAGGTACTGATGGGTTTCAGGGGGGCACAGATGGGTTTGGAGGGGCACAAATGGGTTTTGGGGGGGCACAGATGGGTTTGAGGGGGCACAGATGGGGTTTGGAGGGGCATAGGTGGGGTTTGGCGAGGTACTGATGGGTTTCAGGGGGACACAGATGGGTTTGAAGGGGCACAGATGGGTTTTGGGGGGGCACAGATGGGATTTGGGGGGACATAGATAGGTTTAGAAGGGGCACAGATGGGTTTTGGGTGGGCACAAATGGGTTTGAAGGGGCATGGATAGGGTTTGGGGGGGGCACAGATGGGTTTGGTGGGGCACAGTTCTATTTTGGAGAAATAAAGCTACGAAAGGTGTATTGTAGTAGGACTTATGAGGGGTAATTTCAAATTATTCATTTTATGGTACTAATTATACACTGTAAATAACTTAAAACAAATAATTTAGAATTACCCCTCGTAAGTCCTACTACAATACATATTTTATACTTCTTTCATAGTTCTATTTCTCAAAAATTCCTAATCTTATTTACAAGACCATCCTTTAAAATTTATTTCTAATTCAATTTCTCTCTCGACAATACCTCTCCTATTCTACAACATCTCTAAGCCAACATTCCTTATCTCAAAATTCACACACAAATACAGACTTTTGTGTGTAAACATCACTTATGTGAACCTTCTGTGAAACTTTAAGGATTTTCCACAAATCCATTTCCCACAGAGGGGGTCAGACTCTTTCTCCAGAACCAGAGCACGCAGTCCCAAGCTGTGCCAAGGGAAAATTTAGGTTGGATATTATGAAAAAGCTTTTTATAGAAAGGGTGATAAAGCTCTGGAATGTTCTGCGTGGGGAGGTGGTGGAATCACCCCCCCTGGATGTGTTTAAAAAAAATTGGATGTGGCACTGGTTTAGTTGAGCTGCTGGAGCTGGGATGGACTCAATCCTAAACTTCCCTTCCAAACTGCTCACTCTGTGAATTCTGTGAATTCTTTGGGGTCTGGGCACCGCTGTGGGGTCTGCACATGCCCAGCCAGGGGGTCCCCGCGTGTCCCCAAGCCCCTCACCCACGAGCGCGCGGTCGATGACGCGGACGGCGATGGTCATCAGCGTCCAGCACTTGGAGCAGATATCAGCCGAGCTGGGGGCACAGCGAGGGGCGTCAGCCGGACGCCCCCCACCCCTGAACCCCCTCCCAGCCCCAGAGCCCCCCGGGGGAACCTGCAGCACGTCCGGACGTCGTCGTAATCCGTCATGTCGATGTCAAAGACCAGCTCCTTCTCCTGAGGCTGGAAGGCTCCCAGGTGCACCGTGTTGTGCTGGTTGGGCTGAGGAGGGACAGGGTGGGCTCAGCGCCACCGCAGACCCCCGCAGACCCCCCCAGCACGGTGGGCAGGACTCACCCGGTGGGAATAGACGGCCCCGATGTCGATTTTGTAGGGGTTGATCTTCTGCAGCTCCCGCTCCAGCTCCTGGGGGCTGCTGAAGGACTGGAAGCGCAGGTAGACGTCGTCCCGCAGCGTGAAGGAGAATTCCCGCAGCTGGAAGTAATTCTTCGCTGCAGGGACACGGGAGGGTCGGGGGGGGGTCAATGCCGTCCTAAATCCCCCATTAAAGTCACCCCCGGACCCGCCCTTCCCCGCTCCTCCCGGTGTCCCGGTCGGTGCAGTGTGGGATGAGACCCGGGATCGGGGTGATCCCGCCCGGTATCGGTGCATCCACCCACCGCCCGCCCCCGGTAGCCCAGCGTGGTATGAGACCCGGGATCAGGGTGTTCCCGCCCGGTACCGGTGCTCCCCGGCCCGTATCGGTGCCTTTCCCCCGGTATCAATGCCCCTCGCCCGGTATCGGTGCCCCCCGGTCGGTATCGGTGCCTTTTCCCCGGTATTAGTGCCCCCCGCACGGTATCGCTGGCCCCAGTCCGGTATCGGTGCCCCTCGCCCGGTACCGGTGCCCCCCGCCCGGTATCGGTGACCCCATCCGGTATCGGTGTTCCCCACCCGGTATCGGTGCCCCCCGCCCGGTATCAATGCCCCTCGCCCGGTACCGGTGACCCCCGGCTCGGTACCGGTGGCCCCAGTCCGGTATCAATGCCCCCCTCCGGTACCGCATCCCCGGTGGAGCCCTCGCCCGGTACCGTTGCCCCCAGTCCGGTATCGGTACCCCCCGCCCGGTACCGGTGCCCCGGCTCGGTATCGATGCCCCCCGCCCGGTACCGGTTCCCCCCCGCTCACCGCCGCCGTAGCTGAGCCAGCGGCCGTAGGGGCCGTGCGGGAAGAGCCGCCGAGGAGAGCAAAGCACCGGAGAGGTCCCGGGATGGAGGGGAGGGGATGCCCCGGGGTCCCGGGGTCTGGGGTCGTGCGGTCCGGGGGTGGTCCTGGAGGGGTCCCGGAACCGGGAGGGTGGCGGGGTGCTGAGCTGCGGGCACGGCCCGGGGTCCGGGGTGTCCCGGGGTCCAAGGGGGTCCCAGGGGGGCTGCCCGGGGTCCGGGTGGGTCCCTGGACGCGCGGTCCTGGCTTGTCCCGGGGTCCGGTAGATCCTGGGGTGCTGAGGTGCGGGGGGGGTCCCGGCTTTCGGGGCGGTCCCAGGATCTGGGAGGGTCCCGGGGTAATCCGGTGATCCGGGGACGGGGGGGCGCGGGGATGTTCCGGGCTCGTGGGTGGTCCCGGGCTCCGGGGTGCTCCCGGGCTCCGGGGGTGTTCCGGGCTCCGGCAATGTTCCGGGGATGTTCCGGGCTCGGGGGTGGTCCCGGGCTCGGGGCTGTTCCGGGCTCCGGGGGGGGTCCCGGGCTCCGGGGGGGTCCCGGGTTCCGGAGATGTTCCGGGCTCCGGGAATGTTCCGGGCTCCGGGGTGTTCCGGGGATGTTCCGGGCTCGGGGATGTTCCGGGCTCGGGGGTGGTCCCGGGATGTTCCGGGCTCTTCGGCGGAGGCTACTGCCCCTCCAAGTACGGCGTGGAGGCCTTCTCTGACAGCCTCAGGTAAGGCTGGAGCAGCAGCTCTCCCTCAGGGTTTCCCAGCTTGTTTTTCTGGACTTTGTCTGGCGCAGCGGTCAGCTCCCAGCCCTGCACGATCGTGACTGAGCACAGGTCGAACTCGCGTGTGCTGCTGAAGTGTGAGCAGCTCCTGTGCTGGCACGGGGCCTCCCCTGAGGACATTGGCCCTGTCCAAGATCCTGCAGGACATGGCCCTGAGCTGCCCTGAGCTTTGCTTTGCTCCCAACCCATTGAAATGTGGCAAATGTTTACTGGCACATCATTTCAGCCATGTGCCAGGCTGGCACAATGTCCACAGGCATGGTCAGGCTCTGCTCCACGCCCTGGCATGAGGCTGCATGCCATGGGAGATGTGGGCATGGAGCCTCCTCTGGGGACATTGGCCCTGTCCAAGACCCTGCAGGACACGGCCCTGCTGCCCTGAGCTTTGCTTTGCTCTTAACCCATTGAAATGTGGCAAATATTCACTGGCACATCATCTCAGCCACGTGCCAGGCTGGCACAGGGTACACTGGCATGATCAGGCTGTGCTCCATGCCCTGGCACAAGGCTGAATGCCAAGGGAGATGTGGGCACAGAGCCTCTGATGTGGACATTGGTCCTCTCCAAGACCCTGCAGGACACGGCCCTGCTGCCCTGAGCTTTGCTTTGTTCCCAACCCGTCTCAAACATTTGCTGACATCATTTCAGCCACGTGCCAGGCTGGCACAATGTCCACTGGCATGGTCAGGCTCTGCTCCACGCCCTGGCATGAGGCTGCATGCCATGGGAGATGTGGGCATGGGGCCTCCTCTGGGGACATTGGGCCTGTCCAAGACCCTGCAGGACAGGAGCTACCCCGAGCTTTGCTTTGTTTCCAACCCATCCAGATGTGGCAAATGTTTACTGGCACATCATCTCAGCCATGTGCCAGGCTGGCACAATGTCCACTGGCGTCCACAGGCTGTGCTCCACCCCTCCCGCTGCATGCCATGGGAGATGTGGGCATGGAGCCTCCTCTGGGGACATTGGGCCTGTCCAAGACCCTGCAGGACAGGAGCTACCCCGAGCTTTGCTTTGTTTCCAACCCATCCAGATGTGGCAAATGTTTACTGGCACATGATCTCTGCCATGTGCCAGGCTGGTCAGGTCAGGCTCTGCTCCAGGCCCTGGCACGAGGCTCTATGCCATGGGAGATGCGGGCACGGACACGCTGGGTGCTGCTGCCATGTCCCACGGGACTCAATCCCCTGCAGGCTGGAGATGCGCAACTTCGGGGTGAAGGTCTGTGTGATCGAGCCGGGCTACTTCAAAACCATGATCACCAACGTTGAGAACCTGGAGAAGAATTTCTAGGCCAGCTGGGAGAAGCTTCCGGCAGACACGGGGCCTCCCCTGGGGACATTGGCCCTGTCCAAGATCCTGCAGGAGATGGCCCTGCTGCCCTGAGCTTTGCTTTGCTCCCAACCCATCCAGATGTGGCAAATGTTTACTGGCACATCATCTCAGCCACGTGCCAGGCTGGCACAATGTCCACTGGCGTCCACAGGCTGTGCTCCACCCCTCCCACTGCATGCCATGGGAGATGTGGGCATGGAGCCTCCTCTGGGGACATTGGGCCTGTCCAAGACCCTGCAGGACAGGAGCTACCCCGAGCTTTGCTTTGTTTCCAACCCATCCAGATGTGGCAAATGTTTACTGGCACATCATTTCAGCCACATTCCAGGCTGGCACAATGTCCACTGACATGGTCTGGCTGTGCTCCACACCCTGGCACGGGGCTGCATGCCATGGGAGATGCGGGCACGGACACGCTGGGTGCTGCTGCCATGTCCCACGGGACTCAATCCCCTGCAGGCTGGAGATGCGCAACTTCGGGGTGAAGGTCTGTGTGATCGAGCCGGGCTACTTCAAAACCATGATCACCAACGTTGAGAACCTGGAGAAGAATTTCTATGCCAGCTGGGAGAAGCTTCCTGCAGAGATCAAAGCGAGTTACGGGGAGGGTTACTTGAAGGATTGTAAGTAGCTCCCCCAAAGGCTGAGTGATCCTCTTTGTCTGATGACACAAGGCACATCCCCAGGGCCACGAGGGTCCCACGGGGGTCCCGCTGCCCCAAAACCTCCTGGGGCCACTTGGCTCCGCTCAGCTCCAGCCTCCCAGCGGCGTTTTCTGCCTCTGCAGTTGTGGCGACCCTCAAGCTGCTGCAGAAGGGCTACAACACCGACCTGTCCCTGGTCACCAACTGCATGGAGCACGCTCTGACCAGCCTGCACCCCCGCTCACGCTACTCGGCCGGCTGGGACGCCAAGCTGCTCTACCTGCCCCTCAGCTACCTGCCCTCAGCCCTCAGCGATGCCCTCTTCTCCTTGTTCTACCCCAAACCTGCTGGGCAAGCCTGAGGTGGGCATGCAGCTGGCAGCCAGGAGCAGAGGGAGATGCAATAACACACGCTGGGATCAAGAATTGGCTGCGGCCACGTCCCTGAATTTGTAGCTGCGTGTAGCTCAGAATTTGTAGCTTGGAATTTGTAGCTGTCTGTCCCTCTGTGCCCTGCTCACCGGTGGGTTTGTCCTGAATAAAGACGCCCTGTCCCCTCCTGGCTGAGCGTGGTGGCACTCAGGCCGTGGCAGCCAGGCTGAGCCTGGCAGCTCTGGCTCTTCCCCTGGGCACCTGCTGCGCTCAGGATCCAGCCCTGGGCACGGTGCCAGGGGGCTTGTCCAGGCTGGCAGCCCGGGTGTTGACACAGGGCAGCAAAACTCAGACCTGCTCCAACCTGAGCAGATTTCCCTCCGGGCAGAGAAGCGAGCAGGCCTCTTACAGAACCCTCCTCTGCTTCCTCCTCCTGCAGAGCTGTTTGGGGGGCCTGTGCTGCCCCATCACCACATTTGGGGACCCTGTCGCCCACCAGTGCGGGGTGGGATGGGAAGGTCCAGGGTTGGTGCTGCTGGCGGTTCCCCCAAATCCAGCTCCGTGGGGCACCGGGATCCACCTGCTGGGGGCACGGCAGAGCCCCGGGCACGGGCAAAGCCGGGAATTGCAAAAACCACAAATCAGGAGGGACAAAACGCAGCCCGGCAGGGAGCTGCCGCAATCCCGGCTCTATAAATGCCGGCACGGGCAGTCACCGAGCGCTGCCAGCGGCGGGGATGTGGCCGTACGCGGTGGCCGTGCTGCTGGCGCTGCTCCTGCTGCGCCGCTGGCACCGGGAGCGGCAGACGGTGCCGCGGCTCTCGGAGAAGCACGTGCTGATCACGGGATGCGACAGCGGCTTCGGGAAGCGGCTGGCCCGGGTCCCAGGGTCTTTGGTTGTGGTGTCTAGAGGGGTCCTGGGGCGCTGAAATTCGGGGAGGTTCCGAGATCTGGGGTGTTCCCGAGGCACTGAGGTTCAGGGGGATTCCAAGATCCCGGGATCCAGAGGGGTCCTGGGGTGCTGAGCTCCGGGGGTGTCTCGGGATCCACGAGGGTCCCCGGAGCAAGAACAAGGTTCCCCAGCGCCCATGACAGAACGCCTGGGGTGTGCCACGAGCAGCCCCTCGCTGCCCCCCGATCTCTGCCCTCCTCGGGGCAGCAGCTCCCGCTGATCCCCTCCACCTCGGGCAGGCGGGAGCTGCGTCCCTTCGGGGTGAGGGTCTCCATCATCGAGCCCGGAGGCTTCCAGACGGGAATGACCGACCCCGCCCCGCTGGTGGAGGGCTTCCTTCGCCTCTGGGAGCGGCTCCCGGCAGAAACCCAGGCAGCTTACGGCCGCCACTACCTGGACAAATGTGAGTCCACCCCAACACCGCCACCCCTGCTGACCCCACCTCCACGGCGCTGACCCCCTTCTGCCCACCCAGATGCCAAGAGCACCACCCTGCTGCACCGCCTGAGCAGCTCCCGGCTGTCGCACGTCACCGATGCCATGACCCACGCGCTGCTGTCCCGCTGTCCCCGCAGCCGCTACGCCGCGGGCTGGGACGCCTGCCTCATCTTCCTCCCGCTCAGCTACTGCCCCTCCTGGCTCTCCGACACCATCATTGGCTTCTTCCTGCCCGTCCCGGCCAGCGGGACCCCCTGATGGCCACCAGAGCGGGGACACGGCCCGTGGGTGTCTCGGGCTCTGCAGAACGTGCTCAATAAAGCTGGGCAATGCTGGGGCTCGGAGGTGTCCGATGGTCACCTGGCCACGGTGCTGGCGGCCACCGGGGGTCGCGTGGCAGGATCCCGGCTGCTGCCCGTGCCCCGAGCGGCTGCGTGTCCCGGGATATCCCGGCTCGGGTGGCAGGGAAAGGGCTGGGAAAGGCAGAGCGGTGTTTATCCATCCCCTAGGCTCGGTTTAACCCGGGATATCCCGGCTCGGGTAGCATGGAACGGGCTGGGAGAGGCAGCTCGGTGTTTATCCCTATCCTAGGCTCGGCTTAACCCGGGATACTCCGGCTGAGCTGGCAGGGAACGGGCTGGGAGAGGCAGCTCGGTGTTTATCCCTAACCTAGGCTCGGCTTAACCCGGGATATCCCAGCTCGGGTAGCATGGAACGGGCTGGGAGAGGCAGCGCGGTGTTTATCCATCCCCTGGGCACGGTGTATCCCGAGATAAACCGGCTCGGATGGTAGGGACCGAGCCAGGAAAGGCAGAACGGTGTTTATCCATCCCCTGGGCACGGTATATCCCGGGATACCCCGGCTGAGCTGGCATGGAACGGGCTGGGAGAGGCAGCGCGGTGTTTATCCATCCCCCGGGCTCGTGGGCGATGATCCCTGCGTCACTCACCGAGCTAATTAAGAGCTGATTAGCGATCAGCAGCTGCGGGGCAGGTCTCTGAGGTTGTGCACTTGCCTGCGGGACCAGAGCAGCGCCAGCGCAGCCCCCTCCCCTCAGCTCTGGCAAAGCCCACCCTGGGCCGGGACCCCCGAGACGCCTCGGGGAGGGCGAGAGGGACGAGGAGCAGCCGGGACCTCGCACAAGCTGCCTTCCCCAGCCGAGGAAGCTTTTCCCGAGTGTTTTCTTTGGCTCGGGGAGCACAGCGTGCCCGGCAGCCCCCGCAGGTCGCGTTGGGGACCGGGACGTGGCGTGCCAACCCCCGGGAGCTGCAGCCCTGGCTGTACCTGCCGCGGCACACCTGTGCCCAAATCCCTCCGGAGGAGGAAGGAGCAGGAGAATTGCAGATCCCCGGCGCTGCCTCTGCCTGGAGCCCGCCTCTCCAGACCCTGAGGGGCTCCTGGGCACAGATTTGGGGTGCTGAGAGCCTTGGGGCACCCCAGGAATTGCAGAAGGGGCTGAGCTGCCTGTCCCAAACCCAGAAATACAACCAAGCTCCCAGAGCTCGCTGTTCCCACCCGCATCAGCAGCCCCTGCACAGCCCTCGACGCTTCCCAGCTCCTGCTCAGCCCCAGAGTTCGCTGTGGAATTCTCCTGACCCGTTAAACAGAACCAGCAGAGCATTGCTTCCCCCTCGGATGGGACAAAACCCCCTCGGTGGCAGAGCGGCCCCTCACCACCCCCACGGCCCCAGCTGAGCCAAAATATGCCCGGGGCCAGCACGAAGCCGCCGAGTTCCTGTTTGGAAGCCGCTCCTGCCGGGGTTGGTACCTGCACACGGGGTCACCAGCGCCGGGCTTGCTGTTGTGAGCCCCGACTTTATCAGTGCCCTGGCGCTTCCCCGCTCCCCGTGCCTTCCTTCCGAGCCAATTGTTGATCCCGCAGTCTTGGCTGAGCTGGGAAAAAGGGAGATTTCCTGCAATTGTTTCGCAGGACTTGCAGAACGATGCAAAATTTTCTGCCTATCAGCCCCCGTCCCCAGCTCCGGGGCAAGGCTTGAGCCCCCTGGCTTCCCCTGCCAGACCGCGGGGCAATCAAGGCTCTGTGATTAATTGCTGCCTGGCCAGAGGTGCTTCTCTGGCGACATCCGTCTGCCACCGGCTCCTGCGGGAGCGCTGCCCGGGCACAGAGTTCAGCTTTCAGCTTTTCCCCCGAAAAACCCCTGATCTCACCCTGATATCGAGGTGGCATCAAGGACATCTTTGTCACCTTTGTTATAACCCACCCCAACCAGGATTCCCAGAGCTGGGGCAGGACCTGGGATGTATTTTCCCCACAGAAGGATCCAGGCGGGATCCAACCTCTTATCCCAGCGCGGTGACAGTGGAGGGGACACTCGGGAAGCCCCGGGGACCCCCGTCCACCCCCAGGCACCTGCGGCTTCCACACCGACACCTGCCCGGGGCCTCCGTCCCCACCCTGCGGCAAAATCAAACGGGAGCCGAGTCCCGGCGCTGCAGATCCAGGGAAATGTCACCGGGCTGGGCTGTCTCAGGATGTCGCACCACGGCGGTCATTTCCTGCCCAGCGAGCGGCCACCGAGCCCACCCCGGCTCCGTGCCCAGAGGCGCCTGAGCTGCCGAGCCGAGAGGATCCCCCCGCCCCGAGCAGCCCCAGAGCAGCCCTCGCCCAGCCGCCGGTGAGCCAGAGCCGTGCCTCCTGCTTCGTGTCACTTCTCCTGTCCGTCTGTCCCCTCTCCCACCCGTCCGTCCCTCCTCCCGTTTGTCTGTCCCTTCTCCTGTCCGTCCGTCCCTTCTGTCTGTCTTCTCTCCCACCCATCCGTTCCTTCTCCCGTTTGTCTGTCCCTTCTCCTGTCCGTCCGTCCCTTCTCCTGTCTGTCCTCTCTCCCACCCATCCGTCCCTTCTCCCGTTTGTCTGTCCCTTCTCCTCTCCGTCTGTCCCCTTTACCATCCATCTGTCCCCTCTCCCACCCGTCCATCCCTTCTCCCGTCTGCCCGTCCCTTCTCCTGTCTGCCTGTCCCTTCTCATGTCCGTCTGTCCCCTCTACCATCCATCTGTCACCTCGCCCATCTCTCTGTCCCTTCTCCTGTCTGTCCGTCCCTTCTCCCGTTTGTCTGTCCCTTCTCATGTCCGTCTGTCCCCTCTCCCATCTGTCCCTTCTCCATTTGTCTGTCCCTGGTCCTGTATGCCCATCCCTTCTCCTGTCCGTCTGTCCCCTCGCCTGTCTCTCTGTCTCTTCTCCTGTCCGTCTGTCCCCTCTCCTGTCCGTCTGTCCCGTCTCTCAGCCCCAGCGGCCCCTCAGGACCTGCAGGACAGAGAGGACGGGAGGTTCGGGAGCCCCGGGGGTGCCAGGCTCAGCCTCCCCCTGGTTCTGTCTGCCAGCCGGGGTGGGTGCCACAGGGGTGACGCTCACGGGGGACACCAGCTGTGGCTCGGTGCCCGTTTGCCAGGCTCCGGGTGAAGTGGGAAGGCCCCGCTGGAAGGGCAGAGTCCCGCAGCGTCCCACAGAGTCCCGCAGAGTCCCGCAGCGTTCCCGAGGGAGCGTCTGCTCCGCTGGACGGGCTCCGCAGCGTCTCCGCTGCGCTGGGATCGGGGCTCTCACTTGGGGCAGTAAGAGAATGTCCAGGTCAGCTGCATTTCCCTGAAATGGTTCATTTTGTCACCTACTTGGATGTCCCGATGGCTCCCGGCAGAGTGAGGGCGGCTCACACCCCGAGGGCTCGGGTGGGAGCGGGGCCTCTCCCGCTGGAGCTGTCTGGGACAGAGTCACCAATCCTGTGTGTCCCAGGCCAGCCTCGGGGACAGGGGACAGCCACCACACGTGGTGACTGTCGTTTGTGGCTGGCATTTATCCTGGGATGTGAGGGGATCACCAGGGTGGACGCAGCATCTTTGGAGGGTTGATGTAGGGAGCCACCGTGGGAGTAAAAATTGGATTAGAAGCTCCCAGAAGGATTTTTTTGAGCTCTGTTTCAGGCTGCCCAGCTCAGCGCTCTCCCTTTCCCTGCAGCCACCAGGATGGCCGAGGTGACCACTGTCCCCACGGAGACACACACTGTCCCCAGTGAGTACGGGGACTACCACAACCTGTCCGAGCTGTTCTACCTCCTGAACCACACCTACACCTACTGCGAGTTCAGCCTGGACGAGAACATCAAGCGAGTGGTTCTCTTCATCCTCTACCTGGTCATCTTCGTGGTGGGCTTGGTGGAGAACCTCCTCGTCATCTGGGTCAACTGGCAGACGCGGGGCCACAAGAGCTTGGTCAACCTCTACATCATCAACATGGCCATCGCCGACCTGGGCGTGCTGCTCTCGCTGCCCGTCTGGATGCTGGAGGTGATGCTGGATTACACCTGGCTCTGGGGCAGCTTCCTCTGCCGCTTCACCCACTACTTCTACTTCGCCAACATGTACGCCAGCATCTTCTTCCTCACCTGCCTGAGCGTGGATCGCTACGTGACCCTGACCAGCTCCTCCCTCTTCTGGCGCCGGCACCAGCACCGCGTGCGCCGCGCGGTCTGCGCCTGCAGCTGGGTCCTGGCCGCCGCCATCCCCGTGCTGGAGGTGGCTCACATGCAGCTGGTCAACACCGGGGAGCCCATCTGCATCTTCATGGCTCCTTTTGAGACCTACGACGAGTGGGCGCTGGCGGTCAGCCTGGCCACCACCACCATCGGCTTCCTCATCCCCTTCCCCGTCATGGCGGTGTTCAACGTGCTGACAGCGCGGTTCGTGCGGCGCGCCAAGCCGGAGAGCCGCAAGCACTGCCTGCTGATCTACGCCTACATCGGGGTGTTCCTGCTCAGCTGGCTGCCCTTCCACGCCGTGCTGACGCTGCTCACCCTCGAGGGCAACCACATCGTCCTGCACTGCACCTTCGCCCACTTGCTCTACTTCTTCTACGACATCATCGACTGCTTCACGCTGCTGCACTGCGTCGTCAACCCCATCCTCTACAACTTCCTCAGCAAGAACTTCCGTGGAAAACTCATCTCTGCCGTGGTCAAGTACATCCCCAAGGAGCACGGTGGCCAGAAGGGCGCTGGAAATTCCTCCTCCAGCACGCAGCACTCCATAGTCATCGCGAAGGACAACAGCCCTCCCAACTAAGGGGGGTCAGACTCTCCCAGTTTTGGTCGTGGTGGCTCCCTGGGGGCGGTGGGGTTGGTTTTCCTGCTGCTGAGGACACGATTTGCTTGGGCACAGCCTTTCTTGGCTGGGCACCCCCCATGCCAGGTTTGAGGAGAGCTGGGAGCTACGGACATCTCGCCTCTGGAGTGCTGTTGTGTCCAACCTAAAGAAAGAAGAGAAAATGATATTCCCTGTTTGACAAGAAGATGCTATTCCCTTGCAATAATAAAGCTTGTTACTCCACTCAGTGTGTGACACAACCCGGCCCCAAGAGCAGAGCCCCGTCCTGCCCCCAGCTGTGGGGTTGGAGTGCACCATCTGCCCCACCACGGCTCTTCCTGCACCCCCAAACTGCCCCTGACCCCCACCCTGGGCACGGCACTGCCTGGTGAGTGCCATCCCGAGAGGGAGAGGAGGAACCACCCCTCTGGAGCACAACCCCCCCTCCACAGTGCCCAGCAACATCCAGAGCCCGATTTTTGAGAGATGAAGGCAAAGGGGCTGAGGAGGGCACAGACCTGAGGAGAGGAACAACTTGGATTCCAGGTCAGCCACTCCTTCAGAGCAATTTTGCAAACCCAGTTGTAAATTTGTGATGGCTAAACCGGGTTTTGCTGGGAAGGGCTGACTTTGGGTCCTCCACCCCATTAACTCCAGCCTCCTCTGGAGCATCCCCTGGCAGGTTTTTATGGCCACTGGGTAGATTTCTCAACTCCACCAGACCCCAACACCCCTTCCCCTTCCACCAAACCCCCCGTGGGAGCACGGGCACGTACAGAAATCCTCAGAGCTGGAGCACAGGCTGGGTTTGTGCCCTGCAAGCAACTGGAGCATCCGGAGAAAATTCATCCTGGCGTGGATCCTGATCTCAGTCACGTGCTGGGGCTCGGGCCCTCGCTGGGGGAAGGTGACAGAGAGACCATAAATCTCCCGAAGGCCTTGAGCTGCTCGGGGAACACGTGGTGAAAAAAGCAAAGCATAAGCAGTTCTGGGGACAGGATGCTGGCGCAGGGGTGGGAGCAGGATGTCCCAGGAGAAGCCCATGGCCAGGGGGTGACACGGATGCGGGGTTATCACGGGGCTGGCTGGGAAAGCTCTGCCCCTTCCAGGGCTCCCTGATGGGGGAAAAACCCTCAATTCCTCAGGGTTCCTTCTGCAGGGATGCTCCTCTGTATGCCAGGACATGAGCACTGAGGGGAGAATGCAAATCCACCTTTTACACAGAAACTCTGGGAATTCCCTGCTCAGGAATTCCCTTCCTCTGCTCCTCACAGCTGTGAGTGCAGAACCCCAGGGGCTGTGAGACCCCCCGGGCTCAGATCTGCACCCCACCATCTTCATTCCCTGATCCCAAATCCTCCCTGAGCTTCCCTTTGCTAATTCCTTCCTATTTCCAATTAAAAAAAATGGAGGATAAACACACAACCAGCCACTCACCAGGGCAAAAATATATTCAAGATACTTCAACATGTAAAATTTGGTATTTCACCTAATAAACTTGATTTTTAACTGTCTGAATTTCTCTGCATTTTTGTCCACAGACCTTAGGGCCAGAGTGGCCTCAAATAAATTGTCACCCATGGTGGTCTGGGCTGGGGCACTCTGTTCCCTCCTCCATGGGAAGTTCTTCCTTGTCTTGAGGTGGAATTTCTTGTGGTTTCATTTATGGCCACTGCTCCTTGTCCTGTCACACCACTGAAAAGTCTGGCACCATCCTCTTGGCCCCCCTTAAGGTGTTTTTATGGATTGGTGAGATCCCCTGTCAAATTAGATATTTATATGAATATCAGATATTTTTATGGATTGATGAGATCCCCTCTCAAATGAGAAATCTGAGATATTTTTGTGGATTGAGATCCCCTCTGAAATGAGATATTTATATGAATATCAGATATTTTTATGGATTGATGAGATCCTCTCAAATGAGAAATTTGAGATAATTTTATGGATTGGTGAGATCCCCTCTCAAATGAGATATCTGAGATATTTTTATGAATTGATGAGACCCCTCAAATGAGCAATTTAAGATATTTTTATGGATTGTTGAGGTCTCCTCTCAAATGAGAAATCTGAGATATTTTTATGGATTTTTATGGATCACCCAGGCACTCCTGGCAAAAACACATTTTATAAAGAAGCAGCTACAAGAGCTCAATGTTTTCCATTTTATTATTCTAAATAAAAACCACACTTTGTGCTGAACAATGGAGTAGAAAAGAACCCAATGTACAACGATTTTAGACATCTACGATTTGGGGGGGAGGGAAAAGTTTACAAAATATACAAAACTTTACAGCAAATAGATAGTAAACACTTAAATAGCAGGAGGTCAGTACCTACGATTAACTTAACAAAAAGGTTAGACAGCAAGTTCAACTCTTTTTTTCTTTCTTCTTTTTCTCAGTCACTCTTGATGACAGACCTGGATCCACTGAGAACAGGGAAAGTGAATTTTGTGGTGGGGGTGGCAGTGAGCCTGGGCTTGGAGCAGGATTCCCTGGGCTCCCCAGGGAATTCCTGTGACCTGGATGCTGCCAGAATTTCCCCTCTGCTACCCCAGGGTCCCAAAAGCACTTTGCAAACACCTCGGGCTGCCCCAGGGGAGGTAGCTCGGTGTCCCCACAGCCACCAAGGGCAGGAGAGAGCCATGGTGGTGGAGAAGGAACAAAATCTGAATGGAGTTCTGCTCTGGCTCTGCCAACACCGAGCTGGAGCTGCCAGCTTGGGGACAGGGGTGACATCCCTGCCCACCCCAAAGGCTCAGGAACACCCAGGACCCCCACCCAGGTCTCTGAGCCCTCTGGGAATCACCCCCAGGAGCAGCAGCAGGGCCAGACCCACCCCTGCAGCCCCTCCACTGCAGGTTTGGGGTGTTCCAGGGGGGAATGATCCATTTTAACCCAGGCAAACTGAAATTCCCAGGCTCAGAGCCAGCAGCAATGGGGGGCTCACGCTTTTCCCACCCCCAGGGCTGGCTGTGCCCGTTGGTGTTTCGGTGTAAAAGCTTCTCTTTTTGGTTTATGTGCACAAAAGGCTTTTGCTTTTCAGCTGAGTGAAAAGCTGCAGGGCTGCAGAGCATCCCTGAAGCTCACCACGGCTTCTGGAACATTCCAGGAGGGTTCTCAAGGCTCTCCCAGCCCTGTCTTTCCCTCACAGCCACCTCCAGAGCAGTGCAGGTCGTGTCCATCCCTGTCCCTGTCCCCAGCTGGGCCCAGCCCTGAGCTCCACGCTCGAGGGGACCCTGCACGAGCAGGGGGTGGGACTGGGTGACCCCCAAATGTCCCTTCCAGCCTCATCCCTCCTGCAACTCCACACAACAAACCCAGGGAGCAGCTCAGAGGCGCCCACACCAAAGCACCACCACTGCCCAGAGCACCACGGCGTTCCCAAAATTCCCCTTTTCTCTTGTAAAACCCAACACAGCTCCACAGTGATGACCACGAGCCTGGAGCTCAGAACTCAGAGCGAGCTGCCCTCGGCTCTGGGGCCTCCCCTCCTCCCCAGCCAGGCTCCAGGCACCCTCCCTGCCCCCGGAGGTAGGTCGGTACCACGGGAGGTACCACCCTCATTTTACAGATGAGGAAACTGAGGCAAACAGGTGAGTGACTTGCCCAAGGCCACGGGGGAGATGGAAGAGAGACCCCCGGGTGCTCTGAGCTCTCTGAGGCCAGCCCCCACTGCAGGATGGCCCCTCCTGGGTGTCCCCTCCTGGGTGTCCCCTCCTGGGTGTCCCTTCACAGGGAGGGGGCAGCAGGGTGAGTTTCCAGGGTTTGCAAATCACTAGTTTAGTTTAGTTTAGTTTTTTAGTTTAGTTTTAACAGTAAAACTTGACAGAAGTGCAGGAGCTGATCCACAACCACCGAGGCTGGAGAGCCCCGAGCACTTCCTTGTTTGTGAGGTAGAATGAGTTACCCGAGGGCAATCCCAGCTTGGAATGATCTGTTCCTGCCCACCTCTGCCCCACAGCTGGAAAACACAGGGAGAAGCCAATCCATGCCCTTCCCAGTGTCAACACTGCTGGTACATTGCCAGGGTGGCCAGGAGAGACCCCCAGGAGTGGCCAGGAGAGCCCCCCGTGCTGAGGTGGACATGACACAGGGCCAAGAGAGACCCCCTGTGCCCAGGAGAGCCTGACATGTGTCCAGGAGAGCTCCTCCATGCCCAGGAGAGCTCCCCCACACCCAGGGGAGCCCCTCCATGCCCAGGGGATCCCCTCCATGCCCAGAGGAGACCCTCCATGCCCAGAGGAGACCCTCCACGCCCAGGGGAGCCCCTCCACGCCCAGGGGAGCCCCTCCACGCCCAGGGGAGACCCTCCACGCCCAGGGGAGTCCCTCCATGCCCAGGGGAGCCCCTCCACGCCCAGGGGAGCCCCTCCACGCCCAGGGGAGACCCCCACTCCTAGGAGAGCCCCTCCATGCCCAGCAGAGCCTCTCCACACCTAGGAGAGACCTTCCATACCCAGGAGAGACCCTCCACGCCCAGGAGAGACCCCCCACACCCAGGGGAACCCCTCCATAACCAGAAGAGCCCCTCCATACCCAGAAGAGCCCCTCCATGCCCAGGAGAGCCCCCCATATCCAGGGGAGATCCTCCATGCCCAGGGGAGACCCTCCATGCCCAGGAGAACTCCCCACTTCTAGGAGAGCCCCTCCATGGCCAGGAGAGCCCCCACACCCAGGGGAACCCCTCCATCCATACCCAGGAGAGCCCCTCCACGCCCAGGAGAGCCCCTCCACGCCCAGGGGATCCCCCACACCCAGGGGAACCCCTCCATACATACCCAGGAGAGCCCCTCCACGCCCAGGGGATCCCCCACACCCAGGGGAGCCCCCAGAAGTGCCCAGCATGCAGCTGGAGAGGCCAAGGCATCGCTGTGGCTCCCTCTCTCTCCATGAACAAACTCACATCACTCCAACCACACACGGGAACACCTCCAGGGCGTGGCAGGGGGATCCCTCGGGCAGGAGAAGGGTCTCTCCTCCTTCCAGGGAGTTTAAGGCAACAGCTCCATCCTGACCCTCTGCCCAGGGCACAGCGTGAGGCTGGGGCAGAGCAGAGCCAGGACACTCCTGGCTCTCTGTGGCCACCACAAATCACCCCACATGGAGCAGGGACCTGCCTCCCTTCCCTCTCCAGTCCTCCAGGAGATCTCCACGCTCACACAGCCACCTCCACCCAGGCTCTGCAGGGAGGTCCTGTTGCTCCTTCAGCTCCTCCTCCAGGTCTCAGGGCACGAGTGAGTCCCAGCCACGGCAGAGCCTGGGAATCTGGGAATCTGCATCCCCTGCTCCTGGTTCCCTGCTGGGATCCCTCCTTGTTTACACACTCAGGTGCTTCCTGCTCCTCTCCCCAGCAATGCAGCCAGAGCACACTTTGCCTGTCTCCTGGCAGTAGCAGCACAACACCAGGGATGCCCAGAATGTCTTTTTCTTTCCTTTTTTTTTCTTTCTCTTTTTTGTTCCTTTCCTTCGAGTCCAGCGCCTGCTCTGGCTCTGTCCCTCTCCACTGAGGTCAGGTGTGAAAATCTTAGCAGCATCAGTTTGTGGACAAGCTCAGGGTTAGCCTGGTCAAGTGGGCTAAAAGGTTCAAAAAAAAAAAAATAGAATCTAGACTCAAAAACTAGTGAGAAATGCTAAAAGCACAGAACTCGATGGCCTCTACCAGGACCAGAGGTAAGTAAACACGACAGACTCCTTGAAACAGTGATGTACCTCACGTGCTGTTAATTTGTACAACGCCACCAATCTAAAAAGCCCTAGGAAGGCCCAAAAACAAAAACCAAAAATTAAACCAAAACCAAAAAAAAAAAAAGAATTCCATCCATGATGCCTGACCATTAAATAAACCGAAACAACTTTTTTTTTTTTTTGTTTTGTTTTTCCTTTCCTCCTCCTCCTCCTCCACAGCCTCCATCATCACCACTCCTCCTCCGGCAGCGCCCCATCAGCTATCCGTGTTTTTCTCGGCCTCTTTGGAATGGATGATGTACATGAAAGTCTGCTCGATGGTGAAGTCCGGCGGGAGGCTGCCCTTGTGCACCCCTATGTGCTTGCTCATCAGGTTGAGCGTGGAGCTGTAGTGGCCACACACCGTGCAGCGGTACATGAGGGCCCCCGAGTGCGTCCTCAGGTGGCACTTGATGGTGGAACGCCCTCGGAAGAACTTGTGGCACACCTTGCACTGGTAGGGCTTCTCGCCGGTGTGGATGCGCCGGTGGTAGTTGAACTCGCTGGTGTGGGCAAACCTCTTGCCACACACCTTGCAGCTGTACTTGCTGTTCCCCGGCTGGTTCTGCAGGGCCAGCTCTTCGCTCAGGAACTCCTCGGGCAGCTTCCTCTTGGGCAGCCCCTGCGGCGGCAGGCGCTCCCCAAATCCCGCCCGGATGTCCAGGCTGCCCCCGCACTTGTGCTGGCTGACGTGGTAGCGGTAAGCAGCCTCCAGCTTGAAGCTCTGGCTGCAGAAGTGGCACTGGAAAAGAGCCTCCTCCACGTGCTGGTGCACGGCCAGGTGCTTCTCCAGGAGCTGCCGGTCCACGAAGCTGCTGGCGCAGACGGAGCAGGAGAACACGGAGATGCCCAGGTGGGACAGGGCGTGCCACAGCAGGCTGCAGAGGCTCAGGTGCCGCTGGTCGCACACGCCGCACGTTTGGCTCTTCAGGTTCACGTGCTCCAGCAGGTGGTTCCTCACCGTGTGGAAATCTTTGGCCAAGGGCTTCCCGCAGGCAGCACAGGCCAGCTCGGGGCCGGGCCCTCCCCCAAACACAGCCACCTTGCCTGGCAGGGGGTCGCTGGGGTGGACAATGACGTTGTTGTCGAAGACCCCGTCCCGCCGGTGCAGCGTCAGCTGCCACTGGGTGAAGAACTTGGTCTCGCACATGTCGCAGGAGAAGAGGAAGATGCCGATGTGGGACAGCACGTGAGTCACCCTGGAGTTGCGGTCCTGGAAGTGGGTCTCACATACCTTGCAGTTCCCTGTGAGCAGGTCCACGTGGTCCCTGGCGTGCTGGCGGATCAGCTGGATGTTGGGCTCCAGAACCTTCTTGCACACCTGGCAGGGCATGGCCTTGCTGTCCCGGCTGTCGCTCTCGAAGGCCAGCTCCTCCTCGCTGTCATCACTCAGCTCAATCACCTCCTCAGATGGGACCAGCTCTTCTCCAGCATCCTCAAAATGCAGCTCGGCCTCTCCCAAATCCTCCAGCTGGAGCTCATCCATCTGCTCGAAGCCCTGCTCTTTGGAGTGGTCGCTGTTGCTGGGGCAGGAATTGCTCCCTGTGGACACATCCAGGGAGGGGTCAGCGGGGAAGAAGCCGCCCTTGCTGTAGTCACCATTGCTCTGGGCCTTGTACTGAGGGCAGGAGCTGCCTGTGCTCTGTGCCACGACATTCCCACCGGGCTGGGCCCCCAGACCCACAACCGGAGCAAACTGCCCCGCATCCGACTCCTGCTCTGTCTTGGGAGGCTGCTGTGGGTGCATCAGGGGAAGAGCCTGGCTGGCCTCAGCCACAGCACTCCTGTCATCCTCTTTGTAGCTGCCCACCATGTCCCCGTGCAGGAGGTAACTCCGCTCGGGGCCGAAGTGCTCGGCGCCGCTCCGCACGTCCCCCAAGGCGTGGCTCTGCTCTGAGGAGGTGCTGCCCAGCGGCCCAGCCCGGCCTTCCCCCACACACAGGGCAGGCTGCTTGGTGATGGCCGAGCTCTCCAGGTCGGGGAAGGTGGAGTGGCAAGCCTGCAGCAGATCCTCCATGCCCAGCCTCTCCGCCACCTCGTAGATCACGCCCACGTTGATGAGGTCGGTGAAGAGCTCCGAGGTGTACACGAAGCTCAGGATCTTCTCAAAGTTGGCTGGCGTGATGAAATCCACCACGTAGGTCCTGGCGGCGTCCAGCCCCGTGTTGAGGAAGAGGTTCTGGAAGTAGCCAGCAGCACAGGCCAGCACGGCCTTGTGCGCGGCGAAGGAGCGGGAGCCCACCAGGATGGTGACGTCGCACATGGTCTCGGAGAGCCGGCACTTGTTGAGTTCCTTCAGCAGGTTGTTGGGGTGGTTGGTGCTGTGCAGCTTGATCCTCATGCCCATCTTAGCAGCTGCTCAAGAGGCCCTTCTCCTGGTCAGCTCGGCCTTCACGCTTTCATCCGCGGAACTGGCAGGGCAAGGGGCTCTGCAGAGGGAGAAACGCAAAAAAAAATGTTATTTAACAACAAAAGCAACATCATCCTGGTCGTTTTGCACCTTTCTGAGGAGCCATGGAGCAGCTGCTCAGCTGGAGATGGACTAAACCTGTCTTTCACCTCAGTTTTGGGAAGTAAAAGGCTGGATGTGCAAAGCAGCAAAGTCAAAACAAAAAGGGACCAACTCTCAGAGGCAGGGACAGAGATCCTGCTGACCCTGAGACCCAGCTGAAACCTGCTCCAGACATCTCCCTCTTCCCAAGCTGGGGATGAAGCTCCTCTCCAAAGAGATGTCGCTCGGGCTGGACACGCTAGTTGGATTTGCCTCAAGCTCCTCCAGCTGCAGCCACTTCATTCCTTCACTTCAGATTCCACCAGGACCCACAAGGAGACTTCAGGTTCCCAGGTGGGATTCTCTGCATTCCCGCCTGTGGATTCCCCTGGGATGGATTCTCCTGGGATGGATCCCCCCGGGATGGATCCCCCTGGGATGAATTCCCTGGGATGGATCCCCCTGGGCGGGATTCTCCTGGGATGAATTCCCCCGGGATTTCTTGGTGGCACCTCTCAGATTCCTCAGCTGCCACCACACCTGTCCCACAGCACCGGCCATTCCCCCCAGTGTCCTCCCAGCTTGTCCCTCTGTCCCGCTCACAGACACCCCAACAGCTCTTGGAATTTCACAAACTTACCCAGCAAACTCTATCCTTAATTCCCCTATCCCCAATTCCCTGCCTTCCCCGTCCTGAGACAGGGAACAGTGAGCCCAAAAAGCAGCAAAGAACCAGAGTTTGGAGGGATTGGAGCTGCCCCTGCCCCAGCTCCGGGAAAAACCAAAGCGCAGAGAATGGAGATGCGAGGGATGGGGTGAAAACACCACGGGCAGCAGGGCAGGGCGAGGAGGAGGATGAGGATGCGGCGAGGAAGGCTCTGGAAGGCAAACCCTCCCCAGCCCAAAAAGCACCTGGGCAGGTTCTGCGGCGGAGGGGATGGGGCAGGAGGGGAAAGAACCGCACAGAGGATGGGGGGCCGGGGGGGAGTCCGGGAGAGAAACAGGCCGGGGGGACAGCGGGGTCCCGGTGCGGCCCGGGGAGGGGGCAGGAAAGGCCCCCGGGGGGAGCCACGAAAGGCAGCGAGACGCCCCGGGGAGGGGAGGAGGGGGTCGGCGCGGGCACGGGGACACGGGGCGGGACACACGGACACGGGGAGGGACAGACGGACACGGACATACGGACACACGGACACGGGGACACAGACAGACGGACACGGACACAGGGACACAGGGAGGGACACACGGACACGGGGCGGGACACATGGACACACGGACATGGGGAGGGACACATGGACATGGGGGGGACAGACGGACACGGACACAGGGCGGGACACGGACAGGAGCACGGGCACTTCTCCGTTTCCGGGCGCTGCCATGGGGAAGGGACCGGTCGCGGTAGCCCAAGAGCACACGAACTCCGGGCCCGGTGCTCCCGCGGGCTCACCCCCATCCCCGCGAGCTCACCCCCATCCCCGCATCCCCTTCCCCGTGGCCTCATCCTCGTGGGCTCATCCCCGTCCCCATGGGCTTGTCCCCGTGGGCTCATCCCCACATCCCCATCCCCGTGGGCTCATTCCCGTGGGTTCATCCCCATCCCCGCGGTCCCGTTCCCGCATCCCCGTAGGCTCATTCCCGTCCCCGAGGGTTCATCCCTATCCCCATCCCCCCGGCTTCATCCTCCTCCCCGTGTGCTCATCCCCGTCCCCGTGAGCTCATCTCCGCGGTCTCGTTCCCGCATCTCCATCCCCGTGGGTTCATCCCCGTCCCCGTGGGCTCATCTCTGCAGTCCCGTTCCCGCATCTCCATCCCCGTGTGCTCATCCCCATCCCCTGGGCTCATCCCCGTCCCCGTGAGCTCATCTCTGCAGTCCCGTTCCCGCATCCCCATCCCCTGGGCTCATCCCCATCCCCATCCCCAAGGGCTCATCCCCATCCCCGTCCCCTGGGCTGTCCCGAGCGGGCCCCGGAGGCGCAGCCAAGACACGGAGCCGCACTTCGCGCGTGTCCCGCGCAGACACGGGTGGCTGTATAACGCGGCACGCCCCGGTGTACACAGGCGCACGGACACGCTCCCCGCGGCTCCGCGGCCCCACCGTCCCCGGGACACCGGGCACAACCCCCGCGGGGGGCTCGTTCCGCCGCTCAGGCCGCCCGCAGCGGGGTCTCTCCGGGAGCGGGGGGTCCCGGCGAGCACCGGGGGGCCGGGCTGCCGCCTCCCCGCCCCGCCGCTCGCCCGGGCTCCGCTGCTCGCTTCCCCATGAGCCCCACGAAGAAATCGTGCATGTCTCCTGCGGAGAGACCGGCCGTCAGCGGCACCGGTACCGGCGCCGGCACCGGCGCCGGCACCGGGCGGGACTTACTCTTCTGCTGCGCCGCGGGGGGACCTGGAAGAGACCGAAACGGGTGAGCGGGAACCGGGCGGACCGACACCCTCCCATCCAAGCCCCCCCGCCGCTCACCGGCGCCCTCCTCCCGCAGCAGCTCCAGCGCGGCGGCGGCGGCGGCCCCGGGGCTGCCGCGGGCGCTCCACGGCAGCGGCTCCGGGACGGGCATCCCCTGCGGCAGCGAAGCGGGTGAGAGGGGTGGGAAGGGCTCCGGGGGGGTCCCGGGATTCCCCCGCTTCCCCCGCGACGGCCGTACCGGCGCGGGGCCCGGCGGGGCGGCGGGGGCGCGGCGGGCGAGGGCGAGCGGCAGCGCCAGGAGCAGCAGCACCGCCAGCGCCGGCCGGTTCTTCATCCTCGGGGGGACACGGGGACAGCGACCAGCGACGCAGCGGCGAGGCCCGGGGCTGCTGCGAGCCTCGATGGGGCGGGCAGGGATGAGTCTGGAAGCGAACCGGGCTCTGGGGAGGGAAAGAGACGGGAGACGGGGCGGGGGCGGCGGGACCCCCTCTTGGGTGTGCGGAGGGGGGAGCACGCCTCTTCCCGGGCTGCCGGTGTCCCTCGGACGGGTGCTGCACGCCGGGGTGCATTACCGGGGTGGGGGGGGTCCGTTCCGGGGCGTGCAGGGGCCCCGGAGGTGCCGTGTCCCCGCTGGTGCCCGTGGTGCCCCGGTTGTGCGCTCACACTCGAGCCGGGCAAACACGAGGGAGGGGCACGGGCACGGCTCGGGCTCCGTCCTGCACCTTCACTCGTCTCAGTCTTCACTCCCCTGACTCGCTCCCTGGCACACTGGCATCCCCTCAGCACACCCCTGTCCCCTGACACGCTCCCTGGCACGCTGGCATCCCCAGGCACACTCCCCAGGCATTTTCCTGCCCACAGCCCGACTTGCTTCCAGAAACCCCCCACCAAACCCTCCCCAAATTCAACCAACACCTTCACCCCATCTCTCCCCCTCCCTACGCCCTCCCCAGCGCTGTCCCAACCTCCTCTTCCTCCTTCTGCCTTCCCCTAACCCCAGCGGGGCGAGGACAGGGCACAGCAGCTCCCGGGGACCCCTGGAAGCCCCCAGGACCGTGGGGGACACGGGGACACAGACCTGCCGAGCCCGTCGGTGGAGTCGGGGGCTGAGGGACCCTCGCCGCTCGGAGCAGGGATTCCTCGAGCCGTGGTGGTCGTGGGCAGCTCCCCCGGCCCGGGCTCAGCCGGGAGGCGAAGTACCGGGACAGCGGCGGCTGCTCGGCGCTAAATAAGGGGCTCTGCCCGTGGCACGGCGTGGGTGGGCAAGAGGAGAGCTGCCAATGGGGGCCGGGGGGGGGGAGTGGTACCCCCACCCTGCGGCTTCACGCCCACGCAGGCACCGTGACACCGCCAGCGCTCGTGGCACACGGAGTCACACAGCGGCACACGCGTGCCCACGCAGGCACCCCCGGGCTGGGGGGGGTCAGCACACGGGCACCGTGCCCACGCAGCCCCCGGCCCCTCGTTGTGGGGATGTCACCGTGGGGCTGTTGGCACGTTGTGGGGACACGCATGGAGGAATGGTGCTGGCTGGATGCTGGGCGGTGCAGACAGGGTTTGGGGGGGTCTCGAGGGGGAGAGGGGATCATCCAGGCTCCCGCCGTGCACACGCGAGCACGGGTGTGCCCACACACACTCACAGGTACCTCACACCCTGCCCCACTGCAGCGTGCCCGGCCTGGTGCCAGGGTGTGCCAGGGTGTGCCAAGGTGGAAGATGGGGAGGAAAATTTGGGGGAAAGCAGAGGGACACAAGGAAAGAGGGAAGGACTGGGCCAACAAATGAGAGGCAAGGACTCCATCCCAAGCAACAGGCGGTGGCGACTGCTCCGGTGGCTGCGGTAGCCCCCCGGGAAGGCGGCGGGCAGCGGCGGCTCACGTGGCAACACAGCCCGGGGCAGGGCAGCATCTGCAGCGCCGGCAACGTTAATTAAACCGGAGCCTGGCCAGAGACGGTCTAATTAATTAATAACACCTACTTGTGAGATGCCAAGTGCGACGCAGCTGTGAAGAGCCGCGGTGCCCCGGGCTTGTTTACGGCTCTCGCCCCTCGCCGGGGGAAGGTCCCTGTGCTGGGACGTGACGGAGCCGGCAGCGGGGAGCCCTCGGTGCTGGGACACGGCCAGGCCACCAAAGTGTCGCACGTGTCCCCCCCCACGTGCGGGAGCTGCCCGCACACGCTCCCCCTGCACGACAAACGGAGCTCCGGGGCCCACCTGGGAGCTGGTGCTGGTGGTGACGTGTGACGGGGAGCTGGCAGCTCCCGAAGGTACCGCGGGTGATGTGCGGGGACAGGATAAAAACCCTCTTCAAGAGCTTGATGAGCGCGGGGGGGAAAGGCAGCAAAGTGGGGGGGAGCCTGGCATGGGGGCTGTGGGGTCCTGGGGGCTGCAGGACTGGTGGGAGCCCTGAGGGTTCAGGGGGGCTGGAGGATTGATGGGGGTCTGGAGGGTTCTGGGGGACTGGCAGGGGTTCTGCAGGTCCTGGGGGGGTTGAAGGAGTGATGGAGCTCCTGAAGGACCTGGGGGCTGCAGGGCTGGTGGGGGTCCTGAGGATTCCTGAGGATTCTCGGGGCTGGAGGTCTGGCAGGGTCCCACAGGTCCTGAGAGCTGCAGGATTGGTGGGGGTCCAGAGAGTCCTGGGGGCTGCAGGGCTGATGGGGGTCCTGAGGATTCTCGGGGCTGGAAGACTGGCAGGGTCCCACAGATCCTGAGAGCTGCAGGACTGGTGGGGGTCCAGAGCGTCCTGGGCACTGCAGGGCTGATGGGGTCCTGTGCAGGACTGATGGAAGTCCCACGGGTCCTGCAGTGTCGCTGGGGCTGTGCAGCACTTCCCTCTGTCCCATTCTCCACGTTCTTGTCCCCAAGTGCAGCCCCAGTGCCAGCCCAAGCAAGGAGCCCCTGCATGGGTGTCCTGCAGCAGGGTGGGGGGACCCTGGGCAGGGGGACAAGGACATCCAGTGCAGGCAGGAGGATGACAGGGACCTCACATGCAGCCACCCACGGCCGCCAAGAAATTGCCTCTGAAGCAGCGCGAGCTGTGAGCCACTTGATGGGAGAAGTGGCCACAATTTGGAGCCTTTCCAATCACCACAAGCTGAGCGCTGGCTGCAATCAGGCGTCAGGAAAAGTCAGAAAAGGGGGAAGCCAGGATGAGGGGTTACATCACGGGGCTGGGCCGTGCCCCCAGCTTGGGCACTGAGGTCCCCTGAGGTCCCACCCGCCTGTAATGAGGTGACACCGCCCCGGTACCGACACCTCAGCATCCTTTTAATGGGGTTGGAGCAGTGCCCGGGTGCTGCCAGCACCCAGAGGAGTGGGGGATGACACAAAGGGGGTCTCGGGGGTGCCAGTGTGAGGGTGGGGGGTCCTGGTGAGGGGCGAGGGTCCCCTCAGTGCACCAGGACCTCCATCTTGTTGCTGCCCTTTTTCTTGCAGACAGGGCCGTTGGTGCTGGCCTTGGGTGACTCCACCACGGTGATGGACACGTCGCCCTTCGGGAAGCGGGTGGAGAACCTGGGTGGATGGAGGGGAAAAGGCAGGATGGAGGGGAGGGGTCAGGATGGAGAGGTGGGAGGGGGACACGCCCACGCCCATCCCCTCATTGCCCAATGAGCTGCTTTGGTTACGCCCACTCCTCAGCGGCTTCCTGCTGCAGCCAATCAGGTCACTGGCATGGTGCCCCACCCTTGGAGGCTCCACCCCCACCTCGGGCACCGCCCTGTCCCACCCACAATAGCCCCACCCACAGAAGCCACACCCTCTGTGCCCCAGCCCTGCCCCACCCATTATAGTCCTGCCCTTCAGACCCCGCCCACTGCAACCACACCCACTCTAGCCCCGCCCACCAGAGCCCCGCCCACACCTGTCTGTGATGTGCAGGGGCAGCGCCTGCCCCGTGGTGGCCTCGAAGGTCTGGTGCAGGCGGGTCACCAGCTCGATGAGGTGCTCGCTGAGCAGCAGGAAGTCACCCTTGGCCCCTGTGGACACCTGGGGGGCAATCGGGGGGTCAGCCCTGCTGGGGACCCCCTGAGCCCCCAGGGCCCCCCTCCCCAGGTACCTCCTTGAGGTGCAGGGCCAGGAAGCCGTCGGAGAAGCGGGTGACGGAGACGCCACGGATGTCACTGAGGCTGAGCACGGTCTTGGGCTGGGCGGCCTTGGGGTCAGCCAGGACCAGGTGCTCGGTGGTGAGGAGCAGCAGGCGGGGGACTGTCTGTGGGAGGGGGTCAGCGTGGGCAGGGGGTCAGCGTGGGCAGAGGGTCAATGTGGGCAGGGGGTCACTATGGGCAGGTCAGTGTGGGCAGGGGGTCAGCGTGAGCAGGGGGTCAGTGTGGGCAGGGGGTCAGTGTGAGCAGGGGGTCAGGGTGGCCCCGTGTGCCTTCCCACTGCCCAGGGCACGGGGCCAAAGCAGGATCTCACCTTTCCGCTGGCCCTGTTCACCTTCATGGGCAGGGGGTCAGCGTGGGCAGGGGGTCAGCGTGGGCAGGGGTTCATTGTGGGCAGGGGGTCAGTGTGGGCAGGGGGTCACCAAGAGCTGGAGGTCACGGTGGCCCCGTGTGCCTTCCCACTGCCCAGGGCACGGGGCCAAAGCAGGATCTCACCTTTCCGCTGGCCCTGTTCACCTTCCTGACAGTGTCGGCCATCACCAGCTTGTCCTTGGCCACGGCGTGGAGCTTCTGGTACTTGGGGTTCTGCTTCAGCCCCAGGTACTCCCCGCGGAAAGGCTGCTGCAGGCTGGGGACGAGGCCATCAGCCCCTGCTGCCCTGAGCTCCCCTGCACCCCCAGCCCCCTGCCCTGGCACCTTTTTGGGTAGAGGGTCTTCTTGTCCTTGAAGAGTTCGCTGGCGCAGAGCCTGGCCTGCAGCTGGGCCCGGCGCGACGCCGGCAGCTGGTCCCGGTACTTCTTGCACTGCCGAGGGAGGGGACGGTTTGGTGCCACCAAACACCTCCCAGGGGAGCCGGCGCACCCAGATCCAAAGCTGGAATTCTCCCCATCTCCCCCTGCTCCCACCTTCCAGCGGTAGAAGATGTTCTTCAGCTCCTGGTTGGTGTTGTCCAGGAACCTGTAGGGCGCCGGGGGCCAGGTCCGGTCCGTCACCGACAGCGGCGGCAGGTTCTTTGCCAGCCCCACCAGGTACCTGTGCACCTGGGGGTGACAACGTGGCAGGGATTCAGGAGAGGACAGGGGCATCCAGCAGGCCAGGGGGCTGGGGAGGCACCGTGGCCCCCTCTCCCCCAGCCCAGGTTAGATAAAACCGAAGTGGGAAATACATTTGTCAGAAATATTGTGGCATAAGCCAACACTTGTAACTCTGTTGGTTGCGACCCTAAATTACCTGCTATTTCAGGGCATTTAACAACTCATCCTCCACACTCACCAGCCGCCGGTAGATGAAGTTGGCCAGGCAGGTGCTGGCACTGGAACGGAAATATTTCCTGTAGGTCCTGCGTGCCTGCGGGGACAGCGCCAGCGGTGAGGACACCGGACATCGCCACCAGCCCCACGAAGGACAAGGGTGTCCCATGTCCCCCACATCCCTCACATCGCCCACGTCCCCCACGTCCCCCACATCCCCCATCCCTGTTTGGCCCCAGTGGAGAGGACAGAGGCTCCAGCCCGACAGCGTGGGCAGACAGACAGACGGCACGGACAGCAGGACAGAGGCGGCCTGAGGGCACATGGCCCCGTTACCTGGTACCCTCTCCAGTGAGCGGCGATGGTGGTGGCGGCCGCCTGGCGTCGGCACTGGGACTTCAGCTCCCGGAGGAGCCGGCGAGACTGCGGGGGTGAGAGCCCAGGGAGCCCGGGGGGGAGGCACCAACACAGACATGGAGAGACAGGGAGAGGCAGGAGAGAGGCAGGAGAGAAGGAGGAAAGACGGGGAGAGGAGATGAGGGTGAATCTGGTCCCGCCGTGGGACACACGGAGCTCCTGGTCCCACTGTGGGGCACGCAGAGCCCCTGTCCCCACCCACCCTGCTCCCCCACACCAGGCCGGTGCCGTGGTGGCCCTGGGGCTGCCCGGCCCTCACCTTCCAGCCCCGTGCATAAGCCTGCAGGATCAGTGCCGACCGCTTCATCTGCTTGTACCGGTTCATTTGCTGCAGAACAAGGGCGTGAGTGGGGTGGGCTCGGAGAGCCAGGGGGAGAGGGGTGGCCAGGACCTGCCCTGCCCTCACCCTGTGGCCACGGAACCAGGCGGAGATGA